GGGGGGGGGACCAGCTGTGTGGAAGAATCCTGTTCAGACCCACAGAGGGGGGAGTCTCATCTGATCTGGTTTCGGTGAACTATCAGCACCAAAACAAATACGCTGTTTAGAACGACATCAGACGCTTACGGGGAGAGGGAAATTCATTCAAATTCTTTTTTTGCCTCTTTCCCGCAAAAGGTGCATCCAGGAAATGAGTACTTTGCCTCGCACTCGCTCGCCCGCCGCTTGACACATCCTCCACGTTGCATCAGTGCACAACAATGCGGCAAGAGCATCCTGTGGCGGCTCATGTGCCACCCCCGTGCTGTTTTGCACTTCTTTTTAACACAGTTAACAAGACTGACAGTCAGTCTCGGGATTTCAATCACACACTTGCAACGTGCTGGTCTTTTGGTGACTTTGAGAGCTGAAAACAAAGCAGTTTCGAAAGTATTTTGGCCTGATTTACTGCCGCTTCACCATTTTTGACTTCTCTAATATGGCTAAAATAAAGGTTGGGAAACACTAGTCTAAAGAACAATTTAAGAATGAGGCCATACCTGCAGCTCGCACCACGCCACTTCCACCGTAGTCTCCGTATCGAGCCCCTTGTACACCGTCTTGAAGGAGCCTCTCCCGATCTCGATGTCGAACTTCAGGAAGCGTCCGTCCGGCGACGTCCCGACCGCTTTTGTCTCCGCCTCCTCGATATCCTCCTGCACTCGCTTCTCGGCCTCCCGCTGCTCGGCGCGCGCCTTGGCCAGCTCTGTTTCCCGTTCCTTCTCCTCGGACGGACTGCCGGCGCTGCCCTCTGGCGATTTTCCGTCTTTTGCAACCTCCCGCGCCGCCTCGTCATGTTTGTCTCCCGTTTTGTTGTTGCCATCCAACGCTGTCGAGCCGGGCTCTTTTACCCGTTCTGCACGATGTACAACAGCGTTACTATTATGACTTACATCTGCCGCGTTGCCCTGGCCCGCATTTTGGATTGGCCCCTCTCCAGATCCTCCGCCAAGCCCCGAAGCAGGCTGAGGGATGGCGCTTTCTATAGACAGCTCCTGGAGCACCACCCGGGCATCTCTCTCTGCGGGTCCAGACCTCGAGGGCTGAGGAGCTGAAACGTTTGACGGCCCCCCGCAGTCCAGCGGCGACATGAGGATCACAGCCCCCTTGCTGGGCAGGTCCAAGGCGGTGGCGTTGGAGTCGCATATCACACTCCGGCGGAAGAAGCGATGCTCGGCTGTCTTGGAGTCTCGGTCCATCGTGTGCCGCCGCCGCCGCCGTTGGACTTCCGGGTGGCCCTCCAGGTGCCCCTCCAGTTTCTCGACCACATGCGTGTCCGAACTGGCGGAGCCGTTCACATTCTTGCGGGGGTTCTGAAGCGACGGCGATGGTGGGGCCGGGGCAATGAACGTCACCGCTTTGCTGTCGCGTTTGCTTTCTGACATTCTTCCCCTTCGGTTGGACACCACTGAGGAGGAACTCTGTTCTGCTTTCAGCTCTTCAACCTCCAATCAAAAAGTCAACCTAAGCAGGAACAGAAATAAAGCATCCTCCAAATAACATTCTGTGTTCTGAACTGGTTCAACAAGACAGGCTACACTTCTGCTAAGTCCCTCTTGAGGGCTCAGGGAAGCCCCGGGAGATGATGGGGGGCTTTCCTAGGAAGATCAGGGAGGGGGGAGTCAAGAGGCAGTCAAAGGAAGGGGGGTGCAAGCACTGCAAGGAGGTGACGCTAGTGAGATCAACACCCAAATCCATCCTGCTGCCAACATCCAGGGAGGATCCACCACGACATGGACAAGCCAATTATGTTCTCATGGCCTCCTGAAGCCTGATAAGAGACAAAAATGTTGGGAATCCAAGATCCACTTTGAGGTCCAGGGGACTTGACCTTGGTAGGCTTCTGGATGTGGTTGCTGATTAGAAAGGCCCAGCCTGGTCTAACCTGGCCAAGCGTTTGTCCGATTCTGTCTTTGTCACTGGAATTAGAAGAAATAGGCATTGAAATATTGTTTGGGTTAGCCTGGAACAAATGTCCAGCCGCTAACAAGACAGTCACTCTACCAATAAACATCACGTGACTTTCTGGTTCTTTGTTGTCCGTCTGCTGCGACGTGTTCCTTGTCATTGATCAATCGGACGACCAAGTTGTCCGTGGCTGCAACAGCGGTAAGTAAACACAGCGGAGGGAGAAGATGGATGCTGCTTCGGCTGCGGTGAAGTGGAACAATGAAACAGAAGGAAATGTTTGTCACGAAGTGGCAACAATGCCCGCTTGCCTCTTTGATGATTCCTCCCGGAACGCCGTGACACAGTGAGGGAAAAAAAAAAATACTGCAGATTTTGTTTTCTTCCAGCAATAAGAATGGCTTGTGGTTCGATAAAGTCATCAATGGAAGTGATTTATTCATCCTTTGAAGGAATGTCATGACCTATGACTAACCCCGACAAGCCAAGACGTGGCTGATTAGATTAGGGCATTTGGACGACTTCATCGTCAACCTGCACGCGAGCTTCTGATGAATAAATTATGTGATTTTTTTTCACTGCCGAGGCGTGATGTAAAAGTGCCGCTCCCCTTTAATTGCTCCTCACTCCCAAATTATCCCAAAGTCTCCGCAGCCTGGCTAACCTCAAGGTCAGTCTGCTCACTGGTCAGTTAGCAGCTTAGGGAAGAGGGGGCAGGGATAGAACGGCTGCACAACAACTCCACGCATGTCTGGAAACCACGTAAAGTATGTTTATCAGGAAAGTAAATTTGCTCGGTACTATGAAAGGCAGGGGCACACAGAACCGTTTAAGCCTTTTTTGGATTCTCGCATTAATCACTGACAAATTAAGGTTAATATTGACAAATGCATGTTGGCAACTATTTTTATGTGGAGCAAAAAGAAAATGTTTTTCCCCCATATTTGAATAAAATTATTATTTTATTGATAATTATTTATTAATCATTGGATATGCTTTCAAAAATTTTCAGTGCATTTGTTTTTCATTCGAATCATTCGTCAATGAATGAATTCATTGTCAACTGGAATCTAAATTATTTCCTGCCAATGACGCGCACTTTGGTCGAGTTGGTATTCCAACAGGTCGGCATGGAAGAGGGTCTCACCCAGCTTGTCTGTGAAATTCTGGCGCAGAAAGCCACAGGAATGAGACACAGATCCCGACTGACGGTGCCACTGCATGAGATCACCAGAGCTTTTTACCCCCCGCCCCCCCAAAAAAAACTACTTTGTGTGATCTACAAATAGATATGCAACCACTTTTGAATAAAACAAAGACTTAAGTGTTGTCAAGTTGTCATCTCGGCATTGCACCAAGCTTACCCCCCAAAAAATTCAACCTCAGACTCTTGGAGGAATTTAAACAACTGCTGTAACTACTTCATAAACCGCTGCAATTAACTGTACGGTGAAACCCTCCCACCCCGGTTCAACGCATAGAACGGAGCCTTCGGCGACTGCTTGCAGAGGCAGAAGGATGCCTTGCAGGTCTTGGGCAAGTCACAGCCATGTTCCAGCCTGCAGTCCAGGTGCAGACGGCCTTGGTCGTGCGTGAGACAATAGGTGATGCCGAGTGATGACAACGACGCCGCACAGCTGTTTGTCCTATCTGCGGCCAAAAGGCATTTCTGTGATGTGAAGCAGCTGCATGCCACATTCCCTCCAAGCGGACTGCAAATTTACTGTAACCAGATTTTTGCATTTCATGTTGGGCTGGCTCAAATGACCCAATGCAAAGTGAAATAATGACGCTTGAGGAGGATGACAAGCAAATGAGCCACGAGGTGTGTTTTCGCTCTGATTTCCTAATAGCCCAGCGTTGTCATGAGGAGTGACTCAGACAAGAAGTCAAGAAAAGTGCAGTCCCTCTTTCTTTTCCTCGCAGTGGCGAATAACTTTTGACAAGATTGCTTAATAAAGTTTTAATCTAAAAATGTCAATGTAACTTTCAGTCTAACCATCACCGGGCTGCGCTGACCAATAACGAATTTGCATGAAATGCAAAAGTCATTACTGTACTTCTGCTTTTGATCATACTTTGTCACATCCTTTTGCCGTTCATGGGAACACTCAAGTGAGGTCAAAGTGACATGAACTGTGCTGCTTAACAGGAAGGAAGAAAACAATTAACGTTTGCGTTATTAAAAAGTCCAATAAAATGGAGGAAATTGCAATTTGATTAGATTTTTTGGAATATTTAGTCTACTTACGGATTGTTTTGACTTGTTATGAACTCTCAATTTATCGTCAGGAACATCAACATGAGAGAAACGATCAAGATTATCGCAGTCTCATGAGGAAAAGCAGACGCCTTGTTTCTAGTGTTTGTAGTCAAGCAATTCCTTTGGTTAACTTAATAAATATCTTTCAGCATGTGAACAACCCTGGAGAAAATTCTGTTTTGTGCATCTCACAAGTCTGAATGTAAGAGCATAGCGATTACCTGTTACATTTGTTCTTGCGGGAGATTTGCGAGCCACAAACTTGATGGAGAGTCTCCCTTCCCCTTCTCCTGCTGGGGGGTCCGCTGCAAAAACCGCGCACACGGCGTGTCACGACGGTGCGTCACATTAAACCCATAGACGCCTGACGAAAACCCCAGAGAGACGGACGGGTACAAAGCCGACAACAACGCGGCTTCGCCATCACTTCGAATGTCCTTGTCGACAGATGAGAAAAAAAAAGAGCTCCGAGAAGCGGCGCGATTAGCGGGACGCGCAGGCAGCAGCAAACCCCCAGACAGACACCTCCCACCGGGCTGAGAACCCAAGTTCGCCCGCTAATGTCGCGGCGGGTCTGGTGCTTTCTCTCCGTCTGGTGTCAGTCAAAATGTTCACACTATTTTAAGGATGTATCCACAACTTGTCCATTGAGTGCCATGTTAAGTGAGTAAAATCCCCGGAGAGGCTTGTTGAGTTTTAGGTTTTAAGGCTCCGGGTTGGAGTCTCGTTGGGTTCTGAGCTGCACAACAGCGATGACTCGACACGGCAACTGCTGTGTGAAGCCAGGCGACATTAACCCGGAAAAGACACGGAAGACACGAGTGACCTTCAAAATAAAACGTTACAGCGGTCACTTCTGTATATGGTTACCTCATCATTGTGTACAGCCCGAAGGCCCACCATAAGCATTTCAATCACATACAAGTAATAGGTGTGAAACTCATTGTTTAGCAAATTTGCACGTTCCCAACTTTGCGAGATTTTACAATCATTTGACAATTTTGTTTTTATTTTGTGGGGTCTCATCGGAAACACATTCTTGTTTTTTATCGACAACTTTGCATTCAACACGTTTTTATTGTAATTATTTAATGTTCATGTACTGTTTTTGTCCGTTTTTGTGGCGGTGGAGGGTGTAAACCACTTTTATGGACCAGGTTGTTGTAAATAACTACATCAACAATGTATTCATGGTGTTAAATTTGCATAATTATGGTTGTGCTTTTTGTTCATTTAGTGTTAGCTTTAGTAACATTAGTATCATCACAAAAGTGTCCACTGAATGCATTCCATCGGCAGCATAAATATGATAGGAATATATGGAAATTGCTTCACCTGCTCAACTGCGCCATCCATCCATTTTTGTGCTGATCTTCATTAGAGACGCGGGTGATCTGGAGCCAATCCCAGCTGACTTTGCAGGCCACAAAGAGACAAACGAGCATACACATTTGCATTTACACAGAAGGACAATTTCAGGTCTACTAGCCTTTGGTCGACCAATATTTTAAAGTGAAGTGAAGTTCTACGCATTCCACCAGAATATACTCACCCCTTCCATCAGCCCCTCACTCCGAATGACTTGTCAGTAGGCCTGATTTATTCCATTCTCTCTCATCACTCTGACAAGCAACAAGGTTTCACTGGAAGGCATCTGCCTGCATACAAGAGCGACACGTATTCCAGCGATGTGGATTATACGACACGCAGCAGTTGCGCCCCCGGGGGCGACACCTCCCACTGAGGTGACAGATCAGACCGGCGGCTCTGTTCACATCCTCACTATTGACTTCTTAACATTCTGCTTATTTAAAAACAAACGAGTACAACATTTCTTGTGGCCTTGTTTTCAACTTTTCTTCGTCGCACTTTACCTGACAAAGCTCAATCAGTCCCATCGGCTATTAGTGCAACTGGAGGACAGCGTGGCCCCAAGTTATTGAGGTTGCCGGTAATCGGGCCCGCCAGCTTGGCGGGTTGCAACAGGTCGTAAACTCAAGCCAAATCGGGCTACTTTCACTCTCACTTTGAGTACTTTCTCCTCAAGTCTTCTGCTGTCAGATTCCTCTTTTCATCCATCTGGGGTCAGAGAGGAGAAAGAAAAAAAAAACAAGTCATCTGTCGGATGAAATGACACAAATAGAGTTCTTGTGTCGGAAATATGGACTTAATGGCTCTCAAATATTTATTATTAGTTTTTGTTGACCATGTTTGTGATGAAAGTCGAGTTGGCGTCGACCTCAAGCTTTAAACAGCAATGCAAAGTCGTAAAGTCGACTAGTTGACTTATAGATTAACAGTATTTGTCAACTTTGCTAGCTGTCCGAATCTTGGGGGAACCTACGCTCTGTTATATTCTTTTTTTTTTCCCAAATCCCATCTTATTTGCAGTTTCTCCCGAGTGTTTTTTATTTTCTTCAATGGCAATTATAAGGAAGCATCATTTACTCACACATTTTCGCTACTGGCAGTCAGGCTTGGATCCACCGTTCCTAAAAAGAGAATTCAAAACCATGAGAAACTTATGGAATGGCAACTTGTTTAGCTACATAAAAGAGGCAAAACATCAGCACACAGTCATTGTTACTATAATCCATCCATCCATCCATTTCCTAGTTTGCTTATCCTCACGAGGGTCGCGGGAGTGCTGGAACCTATCCCAGCCGTCTTGGGGCAGTAGGCGGGGTGCACCCTGCACTGGTTGCCAGCCAAGCGCAGGGCACACGGAGGCAAAAAAAAAAAAAAAAAAAAAAAAACATTTGCGCTCACACTCACACCTGGGGACAATTTAAAGTGTTCCATTAACCTGCCACGCATGTTTTTCGAATGTGGGAGGAAAACGGAGTACCCGGAGAAAACACACACAGGAAGGCCGGAGATGGAATTGAATCCTGCACCTCTGGAGTGTGAGGCGAGCGTTCTAACCAGTCATCACCACGCCGCTGCTCCTGTAACCATCCATGCAAAAGTGTTCCTGCAGCTCACCAACAAACATGCCCTGCAGTAAATCCTTCCACCAGAAAGTGTCACTAAAGAGTCCGATCTTGATTTCTCCATCAAAATGTCTTTTCCAATCTCTTGTGGAATCCCATTCTACTCCTCAAGGACATATGTTCTCGATCCCGCTGGTAAGTGTCCAATTTGGAGGCAATTAGAGTAAACTGGCTCTCTCTCCCCCCGCGGCGCTTGGGTGAAGTTTGAATATGACCTTGTGGTTTGGTCGCAAACTGTAAGTGGGAATTCCTCAGTGGGGCGGATGACAATGGGAGGATCTGCATTCACCTCGGCGATGATCATCCTCTTTTATGGGCTTGTTAGGTGTCTTGCAAAAGAGTGGGCGGCAACGTTGTGGCAACACAGAAGCTGCCGTTGATGTCATCTTCTTCATCGATGCGGACAAAGTCTACCTCATCTCAGGGCAGTACGTCTGCGCCCGGTTTGTCCCGAAATAGCCACACTCTAAGCACCATGATTGCGAAATTGGGAAATGCGGGCCTCGTCTCTGGCATTTGATGATCGGATGCAAATGAGACAGTCAGGAGTTCACTTTCATGGCAACATGGAAAAAATGTGCAATTTGGTGATTAAGAAACCATCTCAGCCCTGAATTAATTCGATTCAAAACATTTTTATGTGCTAGGATGGCGCAACTGGGGCACAGCGGGGGGCCCAGGCACAAAAGCACATTCTGAACCTTTTGAAATGGCAAACATCAACACTGACCCATTTTGTGCACACGACTCAGCGACTGCCAGCGTTTCCATTTCGTCTCTTCAGCGGCCTCGTCTTTAATAATGAACGCTCCACATTGGTGCGTCACTGTTTTGGTCATGAAAGGGTTAAAGCCCCATATTGGGCTTGTCATTTCGTTTTGAATTATATGAAAAATGCATTTCTATGACAAATCAGTTTGTTTAAGCGCAACATTTTCTGCACAGGCAAACATATGCAATTTAATCGGGAAAAGGCGTCATGTGGTCGGTTCGTACTCTGTCTTTCGCGTGCATACGTGACTGGCACTGCCTGGTTGCTGTCTCCTTTTGTGTGTGTGTGTGTGTGTGTGTGTGTGAGGTAGACAGCAAGAGACCAGCAGAGCCTGGCACTGAAAAATGAGAGTGAAGGAGACAAAGAGTGTAAAGACAACAATGAGACAGGCTGACAAACACAAAGGGGATGGTTAGTGCTTGTGCACAAAGTGTCACATGTCACTGCAGCTCATTTGAAATCTCGTCTTGGGCCAGTGGGAAAATAGTAAAAAGAGAAGACTTTAATATCAGATCATTTCTTGTGTCGTAATTACATAAACTCCGCCGCCCAATGGCAGCCTCGCGCCGGGAGGGCCGTGCCAAAAATAACTTTTGGGCACTCATAAAAACGTTTCCCATTCACCCGATGTTGAAGGATGCCGTGAATGAAAGAAGCCCGCGTGGCAGGTCGCGCCAGTGTTTCGCAACTGTTTACACACGCGCAACATTGCTACACTTTGTGCTGAAGTGACTCAACCCTCCTGGGGGGGGGGGCCTTAAGTGTACTTTGAAGCCTTCGAAAAAGTCAATTGAGCTGTCCAAAGCACATCTAGCTTGAAAGTGTCGGCAAGGTGCTTTCCTTTAACTATTATGGACTCTATTTCTTTCAAAGGATGACTGGAAAAGGTACAACAAGAAGCAACTTGCGGAGCGCAGCAAACAAGAAGGCGGGGTGGCTCAACTCTTAAAGTCTCGAGGAATGATTATAGAAAATGGTGGGCGGGCTTGTTATCACAGCCTCTCATTTCGGGATTAGCGTGGAATTTGCTGCTATAATAGTCCCCCAAAAACAATCGGACTGAAATACTCCATTGTGTGCCAACAGGACAGTCAAGAGAAACATAAGTCCGGAAAACCATAAGATAGAATTTGTGGAACAGCCCGAATCAAACGGGAACATTCCTAGAATGTTGTTCGATGTGACCGAAAGTACAGTTGGTGGAGAAATGTGAGCTTTTTGAGCCAAGCGGACATGTGCCGGAATTGGTTTTTGTTTTTTTTGTTTTATGAAACATCAGTACTGTACATGAAAGGTTCTGCTTTCAACATTTGGCCTTGTATTGAACTTGAATGATAGTGCAGTTTGTCTCTTTTTTTTTTCTTGAGCGCCATCGGGTTGCATTCAAGGGGAAGATTGCGGACACTTCATTTAATGACATAAGACGAAAGCCGCACCAAATATTCTGTTATAAAAGCAAGTACCGCAGGGCTGCGACTTAGGTACCTTTGTATTTATTGCAGATTACGCGAAGATGGACTAAACACGCATGCAACAAGTGTGTAAAGAGAGAGAAAAAGAGAACGGGAGCCGAAGGGGGGGAGACTGGGAACGAGGTCAATAAGCTAATTGTTTCTGGTGCCGTGTCCTCTCCAGCTTGGCGCAATTTCCTCTCACAGGGACCTCTGCCATCGTCGTGTTTTCAGTGTGCGCGCTTGCCCGCAACGCTCCCGAATATGCAGGGACTAGGAAAGACCGAGCGCGGAGACCAAGGCCGAGACATGGACCTGACGTCGCAGAGATCCACCATGCCGGTCGGCGGTCCCCTGCAGGTTCGTGAGTCGCTCGTCTCTTACGATGTGAATGATGCGATGGGGCTTTGCCGCCAAGATGCGGTATGTGCGGCCTACGTGAGAGCTGAGGATCACACGGGCTGCCGGGTGACTCCCGGCACAGCACGCCGCGCACTATTTTGAGACAAAAAGCCACGCCAGCGACATCAATCAAATATCAATTAGGGCCTAGGTGCCAAGGCTAATAATGCACGCTAATGAAGCGGCAGGTCAACAGAACAGCTACTCACGAAAGAGGGTCAAGGTGGGGTCGGCTGCCTTGAGATGAGGCTTTTGTCAAGCTTTTAAGAATTGGCTGAAACTTATGAAAGTTGACTTGGACTTGAACTACATAACTTGAGTGGTCAATTGAAAAAAAAAATTCTGTAAAGAAATATTTTTTTGGGTGGAGTGCGCGCAAACCTGGAAAATCAACAGAGTGCAGAAGACTGAGCGAGATTGGATGACTCGACTTTGTTGACGTCGCGGCGACTCAACATGACTGGCTTGATATTCGCCACAGATTAACACTTGAGACTTGCACATTAGTGACTCAGTTCCACCTTCGCCCTCGGGGTGCTCCAATACGGTTGTATTGATCTTCCACACGCACATGCGTGCACTTTCGCCCTCACGCCTATCAAGGTCCATATTCTGTATCAGTATTGCTTGCTCCCATCATGCAATAGGCCTATCAACGACGAGTATATTTAGCCACACGGTGAACAAAGTGCTCTTACTCAACAGCTCTGCGTGTGTGTGAGTAAGGGTCGATGAACGGGTGAGAAAAGTCACAGGTGGTATGAGAGAGAGTCCGTGTCATTAATCGAAACGCAGGGGAGACGTTGGGGGGGGTCAGCTGCAGAAGTATTGGGACACCCGGTGCTTGCAGCCAATGAGCTAATTTGGTCCAAACAAAATCCCAAGAAAAATCAAAATATTAACGGAGAGACGCAAAAACGAGCTTCCGGGCTGATCGAGTTTGTGCAAATTCCCTCAAAATAATTCTTGGTATTTGTTTCTGGACACCACATGCCAGTGGGAAGCGGAATGGTAATGACATTTTATCTATCAGCTGGATGGCAGATGTGGTTGTCGCTTGTGAATTGAGAAGGTTCGTCACTGCATCCGCCATGAATGCTGGCGCTGTTCATTCATCCCACTCATTTTTTTTAAAACAAGAATTATTGCTCCCTCATGCCCTGGGTCCTCACACAGTCAACACAAACATGGTAGTGTACCTAAAAAGGTAAAGTAGGTTTACATTGGAGCATTTAGTTAGCTCAGAAGGTAGCCAAGCAAATATAAGGTGTATATGGCGGCAATTAAAGAGTGCACACAACATCATTTCCGAAATGTTTTTAGCACCACAAATGAAAGGGATCCTCTTAATTTGTTCGCGGTTCTCACGGTGGCGCAACTGTGCGACGAATCTATTTCCAAGGTGTGAGGATCTTTGCACCTCTCGTCCACTTTCTATGTATAGCGCCACAGCGACGCGGCGCCGCCCGCTGACGCGAGAATGAGTAGGACTCACGCGGCCTTTCCAAGCATGACAGCCAGGTTTCGAAGTAAAGAGGACTTAGTTACACAAGCTGTTGAAAAGGAGCTGCATTGCAAAGCTGCACGAGAACAATAGGCACAACAACAGCCAAAATGAAAGCTCGATTAAGACACCTGTAACAGCAAAAGTAATGACTATGTGTGCGTGCGTGTGTGTGTGTGTGTGTGTGTGTGCGCGTGTGTGTGTGTGTGTGTGTGTGTGTGTGTGTGTGTGTGTCCCCTGCATGGCAACTGTCACATTCTGAGGGTGAGTGTGAGGAACCAGAATGTGTGTGTGTGTGTGTGTGTGTGTGTGTGTGTGTGTGTGTGTGTGTGTGTGTGTGTGTGTGTGTGTGTGCGCGTGTGTGTGTGTGTGTGTGTGTGTACGCGTGGGTGGTTGGGTGTCCACCAGGTACTGTTGTGGGCCACTTTGCGGAGTAGTTAATGTCCCCCAAGAGTGGTTAAATCCTCACATGGTTTAGGGTGTGGTGGTTATGTAAGACGTGTGTGTGTTTCACGGTCACCATCGTTTATAAATGGTGACCGAACTGTTGCCGTGGCGACACGCCTGTTGAACTGTTTATAAAATAACCCGAGGCTGCTACTGTGTTCAGTCAGTACATCACAGCATATCAAAGCAACCCCTCGATGCCATGTGTATACGCCCCCCCTCCGGGTGGCTTTGAGCAGTTTAATCATCTGTTTTCGCTTCACTAACAGACAGACAATGATGTGCCGTCTTATATAATGCACACGCAGCGCTAACAACGAACATTTAATCCACATGTTGACATTTCTGCTCGCTTCCTCCTCCGCGGCGGCGGCGGCAAACAGTCCATAAATTGCCAAACGTTCCCATCTTGTCCCTTGACACTCTCAAGGCACGCCTCCACTATTGTAAATCTGAATTTGTGCAAGTGTACCCAATAAAGTGTCCGGCAAAGCTTGAAATAAGCGTTTTGACACAGCTTTTTTTTTTTTTGGTGCTAACCCTCCATCCGATCCTGCCTTTCTTCTGCTTCATCCGAGTGTTTTCTTTTCATTTCTAGAGGGGAAATGACAGCGGATTCATGTTGAATCTCAAAAAGCTTAATGGGACAACGAGCCCAGTTGGCTTCATTTGGTGTGTTGAAAAACACCGTGGCCACTTGACTCCAAAATACACTGGGCCTTTAAAAATCCAATCACCCCTTCCCGGGTTTTCTCATAATACTTCTCTTTTCACGCAGCTCATAAAACCACGGAGCAGATATGGACATGCTTATCATATTATCCTTTTAACTGCTGCTTTGTCAGACACATGGCCACACGGCCGCAGTGTAAACATCAAACGGGACGTAAAGAGACATACGGTAATACCTCAAATAGACACAGACCAAGTCGGGACTCTGCACACATCCGCAGACGGTGACCAAATACATTTCCCAAGTTATTAGTTCCCATGAGCCCCCTCTGCAAACATATAGACGCGACATATTTAGAACCCCCCCGGGAGCGGGTTTGTGTCAGTCATTTAGAACGATCCATGTGTCCTTTGACCTCCTCGACCAAAACAAACAAGCACGGTTCCACGCAGACTCCAAAGGAAAAAAAACATGAAGAGGTGATGGATTTACGGTGATGTATGTATTTGCTGTAACGGCTGAACAAAATGCGCGTCGTTCCTGGAATCCGAGTAGAAATTAGTCGAAAGCGCACTCCGGTGTTTATTTGAGCCAAAGCCAAACAAGCGGCCAAAGCTGTGCTGACATGAGAGACACGTCTGCACACGATCGTGTTTTCTGATTCATTCGATCTGCACGCGGGATGGTCTAAATGTGTTCGGGGGACATTTTAGTCTATGTTAATAAATAAAAATTTCATCTGTGATCACAGTAGAATCAAACCATACACTTCAGGGACTTGTCAGACCCTTTTTTTACCTTAAGTCTTGAAAAATATTTGATAAAAAAATTGAAATAACTACCTGGGATATAATACGTGGACTCTGAAAAGACATAAAAATACATCTTTCGGAGTCAATGAGTTTTAAACACAATCACGTGATGATATTTTTGGCCACTTGTGACCTGGATCATTTTCGACTGCAGTGCGGTGACTTTTGAGGGTGCATGGCTTGAAAAGGCGGAGGATGGTCAGTAAAAATGCATTTTCCCTTTACACACACATAGAGAGGAAGGAAGTGTGTGTCGTGGCCTCCAAGGAAGGTCCGAGTCATGAAAGCCAGGAAGGGTGATGTCACACCTCGCAACGTGCAAAGCGTGTACACTCCGCACGCAATTTTTTTTTTTTTTTTGTCCAAGACAAAAAAAACACCCCGATAGAGAAAACGTCGCAAAAAAACGTTCTGTTCCCTTCAAGAGATCTGTTCACACACCACACCCCCACCTTTAGGGCAATCTAACGTCTGCGGTGTACTGCTAATTACAACATATGTACGCACGCACCTATACGCTTCATGCAGGAATCGTGTTAGCATCCCTCCCCTGTTTGCAGCCATTATGTTCGATCTTGTTTGCTTTGGATACAGACCCGACCGTGACTAATTGGGATCAAAATGTCCCCACAATTAGATTTAATTCATGTTCGTTAACCCTGTCAGGGACATCCATATGGTGCGTGAAGGATAGTCCGCCACGGCCCCAAAACGATTTCATTGATTTCCACTATTTACAAAAAAAAAAAAAGAAAATCAAAAACTACATTTGCGACAACTACTCGAAAGAATTCACTGACCTCACTTCTTATGATGACCACAGGAGAATGCAGCACCGCAGCATGACAGTTAAGCCTGGAAGTAAAAACCGTACGTTAGTTTCACAAGCGTTGTATTCGACTTATATTGGCCAAGTTGTGGTTCAGCGACTACTGTATTTTCCTAGTTTATTCGCAGCCCAAAGAAGCCCGAGGAATTCCAGCTATTGCGCTGACAAAAGGCCTGCTTGAAATCCGCGCTTCTGCTCTCCAAACATGCCTCGGCCGTAATAAAAACTTCCAGCAAGCGCTCAACAATGACGAGTACATTTTTTACAGCGCGACAAATCATGCCGCAGGGTGAGAACATGCTATTGTGGTGAGAACGTGTCGTTCCTCTGATAAGCGGCGCTGCATGATTTGCTGTCATGTGTATGCTCGGGTGCAATAAAGCTATATTTACACTTGTTTCATAGAAGGAAGATGTGCACTGGGTTTCCAACCAGTTCGAAACCAGCGGCATGCATACTTGTCATTCTGCACAACTCATCACTTCTTCTCTAGTCGGGGACATTTTTCTTGGACGTGTACGAGTTAGCATTGGTTGCCATGACAGTATGTACTCTGTATGGGCCAAGCATTGATGGACAGATGCATCTCGGGCTCAGCCCATTTGGCACGCACCTGCACATATCCGCGCGTACATATGCAGCGCACATGTCGAGGGACGTCAGACAGGCAGGCCGAATGATGGTATCGCGGCCTGGAGCTGAGGTCATCCCCCTTACGCAACGCACTCCTGACAGCAGAGGAAAACCAGGATTGTATTGTTTGGACACACACACACACACTAGAAAATGCACTGCAATTCAAGTCCATTTGCTTGCAACTAAGGATTCAGCATCAAGTATCAAGTATCGTAGTATCGGAGTAATTTTACAAGTTCTCAAATAGGATCTGGATGGAATCCGATCTATGTAAAGCCACTCATCAACCCGGTTCACCTCCACTGAACATAGTACAGGAAGCAATTACGGCTTCCTTCCAAACTTGTGTAACAATAGCGGTCGGCGGTATGTAATGCAAGTGAAACGTTCTGACAGGTTGAGCGACACGATCTCGCCAATGGTTTTAGCGGCCCACTGCCCAATTACCTTGACATCCATCGGCCTAAATTTTGACATTTTTGCATGCCAACTTGAAACCGGTCAGGTTCTAGAAAAACGACTAAAAACATTGTGTTGAAAAAAAAAAAAAAGCATTGCAGATGGAGTGATGGAAGGACAAGCACATTCAAAATAAAGTGACTCCACTCCTTGCTGGAGGTTCCGCCGCCCCCACCACGATTGGCTTTTAAAGCAACCAGTCAGAGTGCAGGGGAGGAGCACTTCCTGTGAGGTAAGGGGGGGGGGGGTGCTCCCATGTGGTCTTCTGTATGTTTACAATACAATACAATACAATGTATCGTTATTTATGTAGTGCTTTCACAACAGCCGCAGCAGAAACAAAGCGCTTTACAGAACAGTTAACATGAAATAAAATACGGTAATATTGTGTTGCAATTTAAAGCGTAAAAGCTGGCACGTATGGTGCCCAGCATTCTTGTGCAAGTAATGGGTCTGGTCTGTTGTTTTTCACGTGTGTGTGCGTGCGTGCGCGCGTGTGTCAGCTTTGGCTGTGAGGGAGTTTGTTCTGCAGGCTCGTGTTTTTGCAGATCGCTGCTTTTTAGGGATCTGCGGCTTTTACAAGGACTCTGAATTTCGAGGAAGAATTCCGTGGATAAACACACACACGCTGGGCTCACGACTAAATATATTTTCCGCTCCGAGGCGACGCCGTCCGTCCTTTCGCAACCGCTAGAGTGACAAAACATCTGCAGACATGAAACGGCGGATCAGATAACGGACGATCGTCTATGAGTAGTCACCAAGTGCATATGGTGTAGGATGCTGTTGCTTAATTATTTGCTCATATGTGACATTTTGACAAATATGATAATAGATTTGTGTCGTGGCGGTGGGGGAGGGATTCCCTAAATTCAAAGAACTTTATATTTTTGGTGCGCAAGTGTGAGAGACGTGGTGTTGACATTCTGCTTCCACCTGCCACGGCTGTAAATCACGATCTGTGAGCCCCGCTGTACCTGGCAGGCCAAATTCAGGGTAATATAAGAACACTGGAGCCCTTTCAATAAATCAGAGTACAGGCTTGTTAGAATGAAGTTGTGAAATGAACGCATCGGTCCGTGTAGCCTTTATGCAGCCATTGGAGGAAATTCCAGTGTTTCGGTTATGTGTGCATGTGTGTTGGCCGCCTGTCCAAAGCTGATGTAAATGGAGTGAGACCATAAGGGGGGAGGTGATGGACCCGTGCCAGCACATATACATTCTAAACATTCTTGAGCCACTCACTGCTGGCTCTTTGCAGTACCTTTTTTTCCTATTAAAAAGAAAACATGGCAAAAAAGGGCTTACTGGGCAAACTACATGTGTTTATCATATTTTCTTGACAATTCTAGGAATGACTGGATTTCTTCTGGGAGATTTTCCGGATTTGGTTCAAACTGGGTTGTAACTCATATCGTAAGTGGGGGTTGAAAATAAGACTTCTGCTTTTGTTTGGACTTGAGATGACATTTTCCTTGGAAAAAAAAAGTACCATCTAGAAGGAAATGTATCAGCGATACTTCGGTGCAAAAAGGAAGCAAGTGCAGTATTAGTAATCTGGTTACTGGAAGCACTTTCACTATGAACACACATAAAAAAAGCCCCCTGAAAAAACCCAACGGACTTTTTACTGCGCACTTTTTGTGCGCATGGTAAACCAAGCTGCGGCCCGACATTAAATTACAGTGTCCCATAAAAACAGCAAAGGGGTAAATATAAAAAAAACAACAGCGCTGTGAATAGCTGCCGTGTTTATTCTGGATTTTCAGAACAGAGCAGTGAGATCGTAAAGAAGTAAAATATGCCTCTGGCGGCCTGACGCTTCACATACTAGATACGTCTTCTTCTACACATCTCTATTTGTGTGCATGACGACAGAGGTCCAGAGTCAAACGATCCATTTGTGGACAGAAGGTTTGCTTCCGCGGCCAAAAATGTTGAGTAGTTCAGTATGTGCATCAGCAAGGCAAGCGACGAAAGAAGAAAACGGGGCCCCATCGGTCATTGTTGTGTGTGGTTACGTAATAATATGTCATCTGTTGTTTCTTTGAAAGTCATGCATCATATTTCCTGACTTACATTTAAAAAAATGCACAATCAAATATCTACTTTTGATGCACTGATACTACTTCTTTTCAGAACCAAGTACTGAGACTTGAAGTGTTGAAAATGTTCTGCTCCACATGCCCTGATCAATGCTTCCCTCTTATGGCTGCTTTTATACGACATCAACTTGACTGCTCGCTCCTGGTCATTCAGCATCTTGAGCGATACTGCCCTCACGTGACTGCTATTATTTAACTTCTGCACCATTATCTTCCCAATTTACGTTACTTGCCGCAATTTCCCGTGAATAATACGCAACTTTTTTAGCCCCCCAAATGAGTGTAATTATTTTTTTACCGCCAATAGATGGTGTCTTTTTGAGCTTTTGGCCAACAAGGTAACTCAATGTGCTTCACATAATTAATGGTAAAGAAAATAAAAAGCAGTTTTGTCAATTTTTTTTAACCCTAGGGTGGTTCATCCTCTAACCTGAACATGAACCTGTACGCCACCAAGAAGACCGCGGCCGAGGGGATGCTGGACATTGCTCTCTTCCTGGCGAACATCACACACATGAAGACCGTCATCGAGCAGGGTGCGGGATACAGGTGTGGACCTAGAAGCGATTCCATCATAAGTCAGTTTGGCAAATTGGGATCTGTCCTGAAGTGTGAATGCGAGTGTGAATGCATGTTAGTCTCTGCGTTGGCGCTCAACTACATGACTCAACTGGGAATAGGCTTCAACAAAAGGGACAGATGAATAGGTGTTGTGAATACACTGGCACGTCGATGTACAAATGTGTCTTTTGCGTACCTTTTCAGGTACTACGCAGCTGTCCTGACTCTCATCTCCTTCTCACTGGCTCTCCAGATAGTCGCCGGGATCCTGATCATTGTCATCGGTGAGCCATTCTTGTTGATTAGATCATATCCATCCGCCATGTTAACACACTAAAACACTGACACCTGTAACATGCATGAAATGCAAAAATAAATTCATTAAAATAATTTTTAAAAGCTGCTGGCGATGCTATTTAGAGATCTCTACATCTTGCCGTAGCTCGGCGAGACCTCAACGACGAGGCCAACCACAAGCGCCTGGACAGCCTCAACAACAGCGCCACCGTCGTCATCTTCCTCGTCTTTGTTACCAACGTCTTCATCTCTGTCTTTGGGATGGAGCGCACGGGACTCTTTGCCAGAATGCACTTTTAAGCTCCGAGGGATACACATTTCGGGGGGACAAACCTAATGCACTAATCACAATTAATATGAGGCTGCACATTGTTTATAATATGATGGCAGGCTCCCTCTAGTGGTTTAAATCCAGTATAGTAAAAATATATTTTGTAGGAATAAAACCTCTGCCTTGTTTTTTTCCAGAACCCATTGGCCTACTAACTACTGCATATTCAATGTTGGTCATGATGGTGATACTTTTGAAAATTATGAGCTGTTTACAAAGTTGTGTGAACCACCACAATAGACCAACCACATGCATATGTGTGTTGTGTGTGTCCAGCTCGGGTCGAGCTGACCCTGCTCCCCTCATACCAGCGGCTCTTAAACTTCCTCAACAATCTGACCACGGGCATCGTCTTCCTCACCTTGCTCGTCAACATCGTCAAGTCCGCTTTCGGCACGCAACGCAGCTGCCTGCTGCGATGGATGTTTCAGCGTTTTGTATTGTGAATACGGGTTGAAAAGATGCTGGTTAAAAAAGGGGGAAAAAGACAGACCACTAGAGGGCGCCACAGCACTAAGTTAACTTCAGTCCCCAACCTACAGTGGGACATCTGATCATGTTATCAGGTTACAGGGTGCATGATAGGGTTAAAGAGAATCAACTTTTATAGACATAGAACATATCTAAGGGGTCACTTCATTCTAACCTATAGATGTTTGAACCACGTGTACTTGTGTGTCTGTCCCGGCATGTGCACATTGCAGCACGCAGGGACCTGAACGTGGTGTCCAACCAGAGACGGCTGGACTACCTGAATAACGTAGCGACGGGTGTCATCTTCGTCACCACGGTCATCAACTTCTTCATCAGCTTCTTTGGGTCCAAGAGGACGGGTTTCTTCCGCTGGCTGCTCGCCCGGCTGCACTTCTGAAGAACAAAACATAACATATATGATGGATAAATTAGAATTAAAAAAAATATACACGACATGAATATTTTATGTGCTTGAGTGGAATCATTTTAACACGTTTTAACCCTTCCATGCACCCTGTAACGTGATAAGCTGTCCACTGTAGTAACCGCTGTCCCTGAAAGGGTTAATTTCTTTCACGAGGAACGTTCATTTTCAACATACTAATTTAATGTGAAGGTGTTCTACAAGGTGCATTTTGGACTCTTTGCAAGTGTTTTTTCAGCCCGATTTATCAGCAAAGGTGATAAATAAATGTATGGATGAAACAAACGTGTCTTTGGTGTGCGTGTGTATGTCACAGGGCGGCGGGATGTGAATAACTCCACTCTTCAAAAGCGCCTGGACTACTTGAACAATGTAACCACCGTCATAGTGTTCATCACCACGGTGCTCAACTTATTCATCAGCACCTTTGGCATGCAGCGCACAGGACACTTCCCATGGCTGATGATGCGCATTCACTGACACTCCCACCGACCTACAATAGAGACAGGAAGACATGGGAAGCTGTGTTGTCGTCACCTACAAGTTGGATATCCAGTTAAAACTATTAATCACTAACCTTTTCATGCAACAATAATGATAACGTGTAACCTGTTAACATGAGAAGCTGTCCACTGTAGTGACCGCTGTCCCTGAAAAGTTTGGAAGGATTTTAAGTTGCAGTCGTCCTCTTTTGAAACTGCTTTACTCATACTGTTAAAATAATATGACCTGATTGGGCAGTTTCAAAATAAAATCAAATTGCCAAACATAAAAATGATGAGTTGTCGGACTTAATGAATAAAAATGATTGATAATGAGGATTTGTTGACGTTGGAGTTGAAAAAAAGTAGGCCAAAGACACATTGCAGCGCAGGGGGGAGATTTGGGTGCAAATCTTTTTGTGCGTGGTGAACTTTAGCCAGCAGACTATATATACTGCAGCTGTCTGACTGACTGGCGCCCGGGGAACTGGGACACTGCGTGTGTTTGTTTGTCTCTGCGTGTGTGAGCGTGGATGAGGTCAGTGGGTGTCAAAGTTGGAAAGATTTCTTTGAGTGACGTGGAATTGTCTGTGAAAGAGATGAGTGAGCAGCTGAGAGCAGCCCACTACAATCATGAACGTTGATATGAATTCAGTGCTGTGGTGGGAAGTAACGTACAAGTACAATTACTTTTTTGACATTTTCCTATTGAAATCTACTCTTTGTCAAAACAATAGGTCATTTAGCATTTTTTTTATTGCATCAGTTCACAATGTTAGCAAAGTATTTTGATTTTACCTTTGTAATGAAATGTTTCAGGGTCTTTTTTTTTGTACTTTGAGTTGAATCAGTAGGCTACCACTACTTTTACAAATTCTTTACACAAGTACCTTGTGCCTACATGCCTTATTTTAATTGAAGGTATACAGTATAGGTTAAAGGTTGATGGTATTTTATTTTGGACTCCTTCCAAAAGAAAAAAAAAAGAACAACAGAAAGCGATGCTCTTTTTAGCAGAATATTTTTTTCTTTTTTGTCGGGGGGAAATATTTGGAAATTGACATCGAGACAGAAAAAGTATCCCAGTACATCATTGTGTGAAAAAAAAAAACAATAATGCTGTTAATTACCTGATATGGGCGATGGCTCAAAACAAGAAATATTTTGAGTACACACACTGTATGGCTCGACGCTGTGAGAAGCAAAATGAATTCGAAAATTAAAATAAAAGAAAGGTATATAAAACAGGCCACCAAAACAGCGAGCTACTTGTTCTTTACTTCGCTAGCTGTCAGGAGAGGAGGGGCTACGTCACGAGGACGCGCATCTGCGTCATGACGTCACCAGAGCGTCCGCGGCGCGCAGTGGGGAAGCCGCCTCGCCGCCAGTGGAGGAGCAGGCAAGATATTGGAGAGGGGGAGAAGCGAGGCGGCCGGGAAAGACGCCTTCAGACGGGGGCTAGTGGACGGAAAGAGGGCGCAGGACGGTCTGATCACGTCGCCGAACGCCCCCGGGAGCTCCGAGAGTCGAGGGATAATCTTGAATCGCCTTTCCGACTGTCCATCTTGAAGCCTGTTTTGCAACCGTGAGTAGTGGAAGTTAGCTGTCAGTCTGAGCCCGCAAGCGTGGATGTTGTCATTTGTTGGATTTGGGTTTTTATGCAATTCCATTTTTGGATACAATGGTTAACATGTGAACAGTGCGTGCACTGATCGTGCGTGTGCGCGCGCTACCCTTCGCGGGCAGGAACATCAGCAATAACATAATTAAAATTTGATGGCTAGTGAGCCAAAGCACTTTCAGCTTGAGCAAGCGTGTTTGGGGACACTTTGGGGTTGACTTGCAGCCTTGTTACCTAGCCTAGCATGCACATTCTTTAGATTTAACGGTCTAAGATTTCATAGTAGCTCCTGCAATAGACGTTTAAAAATGACCCGATACCCCAACACCGATACCACTTTACCTGCCTGACATATCTTGCGGGCAGCTGATGTTCGAGCGATGTTAGCCCTGTGGGAATACTTTTAGGTAAACTTAGATGACAACACTTTGTTAGACGACTTCATTTTCTGCTCAGCAAATAAGATCGATGAACTTTTCTCTCAAGTTGCATAAGTGGGCTGTCCGGCAAGCACCAAGTTTCGCAAGCTCCAGAGTCTGCATAACCAAAAATACCTCATGTTGCTCTGGTACTTTTGATGTATAAAATTCCATTTAACATTTTGCAGATGATTCACCGATCAAACTGCTGCAGTATAGCTCCGACTACAGCCGAGGAGAATTTACTCAATCTCCGATTTTCTTTGCCTCGAGTATCGGCTGGTATCCGCGGCGAACACCGAAAAATAAGCCAGGTGTCAGCCTGATCCCTGGTATCGGTATTCGCTCACTTCTTCACTAAGAAGAATGTTCTTATAATAATTTTGAACCTTCCTAATCTTTGCATTGCTCGAAACGTCTCCCATATCTGCACAAAGCCACACCAGTGCAAACACTCATCCTCTTGTGTCCAGATAATGACACATTTGCAAACCAAATGGATCGTGAATCTGATACGGCCGTGTTGATGCAGGCGGGGTGGTGAAATCTTCTGCCCCTGCCTTGTTGTGCAACGCTCAGTGGGAGAGAACGCGAGAATGAGAGGAAAGGGACGCTGTGATTTCCTCCCACAGCTCCATGTCTTTGCCCCTCCTACAGGAACACTGAGCCAGGGAACCTGCTTCCTTCCCGCAGATTACTGTAAACACCCTCTGCTGTCCCCCGCTTCAATGATTGAATGGCAGAAAGGCAATTTTTTTTTTTTTAAACCTTCATTCTCCTTAGCGGCCTTGACAAATCGAGTCTCAGTTTTAACCTCCCCGCTCACCTTTCTTGCACTTTGTTTGTTATTTATCAAACACGTTGGGGATTTATTGGTGTCCAGACCATGTTTCACTTCATCCTTATTTAGCCTGGCAACTTCTCACCGCACTCCTTTTCGAGTGGGAAACTGTGGCTCCCCTTTTATGTTAATTGACGTTGACAGTTCATCTTTTTATTTGACGTCGTTTTCCCCTACAGCCTCGATCGTAGGTTAATTTCCGGACGGGAGGCGATGCTGTCTGCCGTTTATCAGCTTTGCGCTTCCCATCGCCTGTATTTGTATGCGTCTTATCTGCACCTCGTGAGGGTGAAGTTACAAGCCATCATGGCTGCTGAGGATGATATCTCACACTTAAACGCGTTATTCTCCTTTTGCACACAGTGCCATATTGTGTTTGGTTCGAGTCTGGTGAGATGAGCAGAAAATGTCATCAGAGAAATATTGAAGTAATCCACGTTTTAGATTTTAAATAAATCATCTTGTCTTTCTGCACGCATCATGATCACCAAACACACCGCCTGCATTTCATTTAGTCGACGACAAGCACTTTGATAGGCAATAATGTGACTAAGCATAGGTTGACTCACTTTGTGTGTTTGTGTGGTATTGTGCGGTATTGTGTGGAGTGATTGACGGAGGCGTGTTTGCCGTAAAAATAGAACGCATCCAACACCTCGGGAATGCCGGGGGAGAAAGACGACAAGGGAATGCAGAGGAAGCGGTAGCATCAGGGAGACGACGCCATCCTCGCTTTTGGCATTCAACCCCGGAGACTCCCCCATGGGGCAGTTGTGATATTCCAAGAGTTTATGAGGTCCGTGACAACAGGGCGGGTACGGAAAAAAAAAGCATGGAGATTTAGCGCTATTATGCTTGCTTCAGAAATATGGGGTTAGCGCCGCGTGTCTCCTCCGACAGACGAAGCAAAAAAGTTTGAACGACGCTCATGCCTCTGGGGACCGGCGTTATTGTTATTACTTTGGTTATGCTAAATGCGATCTTGGGTGACAGTTCAAGAGCTCTAAACAAGTCAATGCACTCACTGTCACCTTATGGGCCCAAAAATAAGTACCAAATACGTAACACGCTCAATACTAGAAAAAGCCAAATTCCTGTCAGCTGAAGTCAAGAGAAGTGGATTGCAGACATTTTATTTTCTCATACTTCTTTAAGTGTTGAGTCACCGAGTGCGGTTGAGCAAACCCTGATGTATCTGTTTGCCTCTATTTCTGACTCCTGGCTTTCAGTCTTCACGAATGCCACTGCGGGCTACTTTGCCGCAAAGCTACTGAACTGTCTGGAAAATAGAATTTAAAGCGTGTTGTTTTTGCCGGCGACGACACGCACTTCGGCGTGTTATGTCTCACTCGCATGCGCTGTCGAAAATCCCATGCGTTGCACATTTGAAAGAATTTCGTGTAGTCGGCCGAGGAGTGTTTTGCAGATGTTTCACTTGGCAGCGCCGCGTTGGCTTTTTTTTTTTTTTTCACATGATTGCCTCGCCTTCAGCAGATGTGTCTCGGGCATGTGAGCTTTTGCTTCATCTCATCATGCATCACAAGTTGTTGTGCTGACACTTCTCTTTTGTCTGAAAAGTATGGATCGGGTTCATTTTTGTACATTGTGGGCAGCTTATCATGTTATCAGGTTACAGGGCGCAGGAAAGGGTTAAATTGCAATGGCAAACTCACGCAAGAGTCAGTCGTAGGATCTGTGAGGCATTTACGGGTCAATGTGCGTCACAGTAAGCGAATAGGACATTATGTCAGCAAGCCCCCACACCACACCACACACACACTTCTTCAAACAAAACATCTCCGAGTGTGTTATTACTTACATGGCCACTGAGCTGTTCATGTGTGTGCATCTGTCAACTTGATACCTTCCCCTCCAGAGAGGGAAACATTCGACACGCTTCCACTTGATTGGCTGAGTCCAGAGTATGCGCGTGTGCCGGCCCTCGTTCAGGTGTGTGTTCGCAGCCCCGAGGGGTGGGGGTGGGGGGGGGACGCAGATGGCTTTCCCCGTTTCTGTGAAGCGCAGGCGGCCCGCGACCGACTGGCTGCGAGTTAGCGCGGCGGTGGCCAAAGATCAGTGCAGTTGGAAGCTTGCATTGCTCACACGGCTGCAGGGCTGTGAAATTTGACGTTGAGGCCAACTCATGTGGTGCGCTTGCATTTTAGCAACGTTGTCTTATCGACGTATAAGGCTTTTTCAAATTCAAAGCGTACAACTCGGTAAAAATGTGCAGGTTTTGTTCACAAGAGCTTCTAACATCTCTCCTCCTCCTCCTCCTCCTCCTCCTTCAGGTGACTCGGCGATTGCCGCCTTTGTGGAGTCGTGGGGTGCCTCCGTCCTAAAGCGTACTGGATTACAGTGATCACAGGGGTGTCAGCATTCCATCACGAGCTCAAGATCACGAACAGGAATCGGTTTGTTCCGTTTGTAACTTGGGACGTTGCAAGCTTCCCCCGTGACTAATGTTTTCATCAGGACACAAGTTGTCTACTTGGATTATTACTTCTTTCCTATCTGGTGCTCTCACTTAGTTCTTTTCGTTGGAGCCCAAAACCCGATAAGATTCCCTCATCATGTACGGAAGTTCTCGGTCCGTCTCCAAGCTGGATGTGGTGGGATCCAACGGTAACGGTTCGGCGTCGGGCAGCCCGGGCCGCTCCCCCCGTCTCCCCCGATCCCCGCGTTTGGCTCACCGGCGAAACGGCAGCAGCAGCAGCAGCAGCTCCACCGCCGGCCTCACCGGCTCCGGGAAAACCTTATCCATGGAGAATATCCAGTCACTCAATGCCGCTTACGCCACGGGGGGCCCGATGTATTTCGCCGAAGGGACCGAAGACCCGGTGGGAATCGGGAGCCTGGGTAGTGTCCTGAACCCCTCCCTGCCAAAAAGTACCATGACGCTGGGCAGGGCCGGGGCGAGGGTGCCTTACGGGGTTCGGACCGCCTTTGTGGGGAGCAACCCGAATATCAACTCTGGAGGAGGGGGTGCTGGAGGGGTCGTGTCCAGTGACTCCATAGCGTTTGGTGGGGACGTGCAAAGTCAGCCCACGCAGGCTTCCACTGTGCCCCACTCCATGAGACAGGTGAGGGTTTTCCTTTCCTACCTTATCCACAAATCATTGAGGCCTTCGAAAAATGTCATTCAACTAAAACCATAAGAAGTATGCAGTATGTTTCAATTGGTTCTTCACGGGGTCATTAAAAAGCATGAAGTCATGAAATGGATTTTTGCCAAAAATGAAACCCTTAAACATTAATGATGTAATCCAGAAGCATTCATTATTTTGTAAATGTGGTTTACACTGGAAAAAAAAAGGGGGAGGAATCCACAAGTTGTTTCATGTTCCAATTAGTTTGCGCTTAATTTGCAAATAAAAAATGTCCTTTTGCGTTCGGCTGCTGCGTCGTTTGGTGACTCTTCTCTGACGTTCACTCCTTCGTGCTGCTCAAATCACAACATTTCATTCCCCAATTAAAATCAAGACCGGGTGTTTGATTTCAAACGTGCAGTGTTTTTAAGCACGAAGTATGTTGTAGGTGCGGGAAGGCGCCATGACAGACCTGCAGAGCCAGCTGAGAGAGGTCCTGCGAGAAAATGAACTTCTACGCAGAGATGTAAGTATCCAAAATGTCAACGAATGACACAATCAGCGGCAATCTACGCCACACATGTAAACGCCAAATTGCATGCGTTCTTATTCCAGTTGGATGCAAAGGAGTCCAAGTTGAGCTCATCCATGAACTCCATCAAGACATTCTGGAGCCCGGAGCTGAAGAAAGAGCGCGCGCTGAGGAAGGACGAAGTCACCAAGATGACCGTGTGGAAGGAGCAGTACAGGGTGGTGCAGGAAGAAACGCAGGTACCAAATAAACCTTGTCTGTGCATCCGCTTTACTGATTACTTGTTATATAAAAAGTCAAATAGTTACTCTACTGATTTTTTTTTTTTGATTAGTCGTGACTGAAAAATTAGCACAACACCACTGATGTCATTACTGTATGTTTTTATAAAATCCAGTCCGGTAGTGCACCCAAACATTTTGTTATTGTGGTAATACTGTCACGGATTAATCACATTTTCATTCATTTCAATGGGGAGAGATTGTTCGAGATGCGAACGTTAGGCCACAAGCAGTCCCCGGACAAATTCAAATCATATCTCAAGGCACGACGGATTGAGCCGCTGAGAGTTCAGCGAGTGCAACGCGCCAGCTGATTAGCTGCTGTCAAACGTGCACTCACGCTCCTCCTAATAAGTCGTGTGCACGCGCCGGGGAGGGAATACATGTTAAGACACGAACGCATCTTCTCCCGTGCGCTAATGTGATATCGCCTTTTTCCACTTCTTATCACGTCTTCGTATTCCCTTCTCTTTCTTCTTCATTTACAACACGCCCCCGCCTTCTATTACGGTCATCCGACGGTGAGTCAGCTCTCTCCTTCCCTCGCTTTCCTCGCCGCCCGAACGGCACGTTAGAAACGAAGTGGCCCCCGGGTAATTTATGGCTATACGCTCCCCTGCGGACAGGCGCACAGCCGCAAGCATGCCGGGTCACGCCTCCAAACGTTTAGGAATGTTCACCTCGGCCCCGCCCTCCCGTGCTTCCTTCCGTCGAGTGTACATCACGTCCTCGAACCAAAAGAGGGGAACGGGGATGCTGTGTAAACAACGGCGTCACCATGGCGACGGGCTCGCAAAGCAAGCATACATTTGTGCAGTTTGTAAACACTAAGAAGCTATCAAAAAGTGCTTTTTTTTGTGAGAGTTATGATTTCATCTCAGGGTTATATTTTGCTCTTCGAGTATAGGCAGCAGGTCCAGTTTTTCATTCCTTCTTGACGGCCTTTTTTTCTTTTTTTTTTTCCATCCGGGCATGTGAAGCAGCCTGGTCGTGGAGCTTCAATAAACTAGAAAGCAAGAAAAGGACCCAGGCGTAACCAAACGCATTCATCTCCATTCCGGCCATTTTCCCTTTTGGGTCACTCAGGCCGTACTGGTTACATTTGTGAGATTGGTTTCTTGTTTGATCACTGCAGGAGGAGAAAAAAAAAAAGGGAAGCGCAGGGAAGAAAAAAGGCGCAAGGAATGCCTGGAATGCTGGCTTCCTTCTCTTTACTTGATTCTCCACCATTGAGTTCTCCCCGCAGGAGTCTGTCTGAGCTCACACTCGAATGGTAGCCATCGTTTCTCCTCACGCGCCAGTAGCGAACGAAACAATAAGCGCACTGTCCTTCTGCAGGGCCGCTAAACGCTACCGGCTGCACGCCGAGCTGCGTGACGTCAGAGCCGGCGTGTGTGCCAATGGAGACGAAAGAGAGATATGGAAGGGAGAGTGTTTTTGAGGTCTCACGCATGTTGTTTGAGGCTTCTTTTTGCATGCTATTTTGCTTTTTGTTTTTTGTTTTTTTTTTTTTTGGTTTATATTTATTCATCTCATGTGTGCCCGCTTCGTTTGTTTGTGCGTCTGTTTCACTCCGCGTTCATGTGGCTCAGTGTACGACAATCGGGCTTCTTGTGTCGTATCCGGCTAACTGCACAAGGATGATTTGTGTAAATTTTTTTTTTGTTCACTGCAGTGCAGATTGCTCCCCACCCCACCCCACCCCACTCCACTCTCCCTCCATTCAAGACAATGAAACAGTCTTCTGTGTTTATTTATTTATTTTTAAATAAATGATGGATTAACACGCTTGGGCCAGCATGCAGGAGACAAAACCAAAGTGAGGAAGTGTTGCCTGAACGCATCGCGGCGGAGACCGCTCGGCGTGCTGACTCATTAAAGGTTTATAATCTCCCCGCTCAGCACTTAATGTTATTACATTTGGCTTTGAACGGAGTATTTCTAATTTCATTAACCCAAAGCCAGTGACGAGACGCTCCGTCCGACAGATTCCGGCAGCCACTTCACATTCAAAATCAAATGTTCTACACCCCTGCCCCTGCCGCTTCAAAAGAATGTGTTTCCCAGCATGGAAAAAATGTGGGGAGGAATGGAAAACGGAGAGGTGAAATGGATGCACGGCAAATAAAAACTGACCTGAGGGGGGGTTGGGAAATGAAGGCAATGTTGTGAAAAGGAAGAGGGAAGAATCGATCAGGAAGGCGACTGCATATGGAGATGAAAAAATAATTGACTGACCTAAACGAGAGCGAGTGTAAATGTTACGCATTAAAAATGAATGCCAGGGGGCTGCACTGGAAATAGATGGCTGTGATGATGGGTGGTCAACAGTTTCTGTACTCGAGTAATATATTTCGGTTGAGTATTTTGTGTCGTGGGTGACCCGCTGTTTTTATTCCACCGATCACTATTTGGCAGGAGCTCTTCTAGGCTGAAATGTTGTCATTTTTCACCGCACGCAGCAGTTGTTCGTTGGCATATGTGCGGGAGTACAAAGGCACCCGCGGTGCGAATGCAAGTCGACCTGGAAAGGACAACAAGCATGCTGTCTCGGCACTTTCTAAAAAGTCATTTCTTTAAGGCACGTCTGCCTTCGATGCCCGATGCCAACGTCTCAAAAGACAGCGCCCATCGTCTGTGTGTCATCACTCACTCGGCTCGGCCTCTGTGGCCCGTACCGTTTTCGTCAACCTATGACTCATTATTTCCCCAACTGCGTGTGTATGTGTGTGTTGCCCTCTTTCCCTGATTTTTGTTTTTTTTTAAGTGTCTGACAGCGAGAAGGAAGCCTTTAAAAATGGCCGCCTCTGGAGCGTGTTGGCTGTGTGTGTTGTTCACACATGAACGCTCATGCCTAACAGATGGTCCTCAAACCCGCATGTTTATTTAGGAAGGATGGAGGGAGCGAGCCAGGGAGGTAAATAGGTGGATGGATGGAACAGAGCAGATGGAGAGGATCAGGAGGAGAGGAGAGGAGAGGCAACAACAACAACAAGAAAAAAAAACGCAGCACTTGAGTCTTATTAAACTTTCGCTTTGTGCGCGTTACACAAGGAAAGACAGATTAGCAGGGTGGAGGCTTCGACTTCTCCGACAGTGGCTCCCTCCTCCTTTTTCCTCCTCCTACTCTCACTTTCTCCACTTTCCCCTGCGAGGTTGCTGTGTTTGCGTGCCGAGGCCCCCGCGGTAGTCATGGCTCTCCTTATAAGGCTTCATTCCCTGGACAGCAATGAAGCCGGCGCGAAGGCATTCCCGTTTTTTTTTTTTTTCCCCTCCTCCTGGGCTCTGTGCATCTTTGACGTGACGTGAAAGTGCTCATGTTAAATACATGTGACAGCTGGCTGCTCTCCGAATGTTTTTCCTTGCCTGCGAAGCCCCCACTGACCCTCATGCTGCATCTCAATGTGACTGATTAGGGTCAACATTGCACTGGAGGCGCCCTTCAGCTGTTTTGGATTCACTATTTACGTGTTTTGACTCCGATCCATACATATTCTTGTCATCCGGATTTGCTGTGCAGGCAACGAGGCGAATGTGAGACGATGTTTCTCCATCCGCTCCTTTAAAATGAGGGATTTTCTTGTAATTCGTCCATCTTTAGATCCTCTTAGAGCATGCGAGTGGGCGATCCCGTCCAACGGCTCGTGGCGATTTTGCACACACACCGAGGTATACGCGTGGGTTCAAATGTGTGTTTGTGTTTGTTAGTGAGGGACGGGGAGGAAGCGTGACTCAGCCAGTGAGCAGGGGATGAGACGGAAGGAGTAACAACGGGGAGAGGGTTCATGTTAAAGGACGGATGAGCAGCGGCTGCGGGGTACGAGGATGCGGGTTGGGTCACACAAATTTTTCACGCCTCTTGTGCTATTTTTTTTTTTTTTTTCCGAAAACCAAAGCAGCCCAAGCCTATTCTCTGCCCATTCAGAAAAAAAACAACCACAAAAAAAAAAACGTCCACTGCTGTTGACCTAAATGAAGGTCAAAGTGACCTTGGGCTTGTATTGTGAAAGTCACGTGACCAAACTCAGGCCACAGGTGAGCTGTGACATTTGCAATGCAAGCCTGAGGGCATTTTAGTGTCCTTTGATTTCATATTTATATTGAAAAAAAGTAGCTTTCGGGCCTCTGTACTGACTGGTGACTAAACAGCTGACTGCTGCGCAGAACCAGGAGGCGTTTGATGGGTTCAAAGGTGAACAAAGATGACTCAGCCGAAGCACTGAAGAAAAAAAAATGTTTTCTGACCCTTTTTCTTTTTTTCCAGCGTCATGAACACACTGCACTGTTCTTGCCTTTTCACATCTAATCTGTTGTATTCCCATGAGTGTTTTTAAAGGCTTCCTAATGGATGCCTCAATTATTTCCCTCTCCTGCGTCTCCATCAATCTCTCAAGTGGTCTGACATTTCTCAGCTGCGCATTCCAGCTGCGTATGCCGGTGGGAGGTGTGGCACAAACGTGTGCGCTGGATGTGCGTACTTATCATCCGGCTCGCTCGTCTGAAAACCTTGTGAAGTTGGCACTGCGCTCACTGATGCAAGCTGCGTTCGTGCGGGACTGTTTGTTTACCTCGAGCCGCCCCCGATGCGGTTTTTGTATGCTTGACGAGAGCGATCGTGCGGTTGCGCGTCCGTGTTTGCGTGCCTGCGCCGTTAATTTATCCTGGAATTGGGTGGCATCGGAAGTCCTGTCTTTTCAAAGCATATTTCTTCATGAACGTGTGCACGCACGTTCTGCCAAATGCAAGCAGGACTATTTGTATTTGCAATTAATATTTGTTTCTATTGATCCTAGAAGAACAACTACTGATTCCATCTCATGCATTATTTATTTGTTCAGTGCAATGTGAATTACAGTGATGAATTGCACTTAGCTTTGATAAATGACTACCCTGATTCCTTTCATATTTATTCTATCATGTTATTTTCACAAGTCTTGGGACGTATTTGGGCTAACTTGAATCTTGATTGTATTTCGTGTCATGTCATGTGTTGGTATGACAAAAAAATGAGGCCTTGGATCTTTGCATCCTTGAATTTTGAGGAAAGGAAAATTCATTGAATCCTTGATTGAGAAAATGAATTAGTAAGAAGGTACATACATATATACTACAAAAATACCAAGCAGGAAAAACAAATAGCATACCGACTGTTATTCTGCGTTTTGGCCCCTGTGGGGCAGTGTGGTGCAGTGAATAGATGGAGTAAACACTGAGAAATGAGAAAAGAAGAGGTTTCCATTGAACTAAAGAATTATAACTCCTTTTTTTTCCACAGACTGCGAAGAATCTCTGCCTTTGAGTAGCGTTATCTTACCTCCGTGTGTGTGTGTGTTTCTACAGTGTGTCTATGTGAATATTAGTTATTTGAAGGAATATGACTCGAAATTGATGCTAACTCTCATTAGCATTTGAATAGCACCGCCCCATTGGCTTTAGGATGAAAGCAGATTACGTTTTAAAAAAGAAGCATGTTTTCTTTTTAACACGGTGTTTGTAATTCTTTTTTGTTGTGTGTTTAGTCGACAGTAAATTCCAATTAGGGTGTTATTAAACAGCTGAAAGCACATTTAGGGACAGCAGAATCACATAGGCTACATGCTACACGGTGGCTAAGCACGTAACGTGTTGCATTTACTGTACTTTCACAACATCGGGAACTTGTAAACGCACCGAGCCTTTCTGCTTATTAATCGTTTTTCTTCGATTATCACATTTTAAAGCTCGAGAGAAGCCAAAATCGAAACCATGACTTAAATTTCCATTAATCGACCAGCCCTACAACCAAATATTTATATTGCAGTCTTTTTTTTTTTTTTTAATCTTGTTTGAAACAGTGGTCCCTTGAGATGTTATTGCATAGCGTTTTGTAGGCCACATTACGTAAGCCTCCATTCATTTCTGACATTTAGAGTGTAACAAGCTACCTTGTCTGTCTCTACCAGCATCTCCAGTGCACCATCCAGGCCTTGCAAGATGAGCTCCGAATCCAGCGCGATCTCAACCAGCTGTTCCAGTCCGATTACTCCGAGACGGGCCGCCTCGGATCCCAGGCTATCTCCCCGCAAGAAATGACAGAGGAGAACTTCCTGCGTCTCCACAGCGAATATGAGCGGCAGGTCAAGGAGCTCTTCCTCCTGAGGAAGACCGTGGAAGAGATGGAGCTGAGGATCGACACTCAGAAGCACACTTTAAATGCCAGGTGAAGTTCAGGCATTTGGGTTGATCATGAATATTGAAATAAGTCTGGGTATCGTCCCAATACCGATGATGGACTACAATAACTTCACACAAGCCTACCGACTGACCGAAATGAAGCAGCCTTCGCAATTTTAAATTACATCCTACAATATTGTTCAGCCCTTACTGTCAATGCACTTCTCTCTCTCTCCAAAAGGGACGAGTCCATCAAGAAGCTTCTGGAAATGCTGCAGACCAAAGGCCTGTCGTCTCGCGCCACCGAGGAGGACCACGAGCGGACGAGGCGGCTGGCCGACGCCGAGATGACCATTCACCAGCTAGAGGGCTTACTGGAGCAGAAGGACAAGGAGATGTTGCTACTCAGAGAGGTGTGTGTGTGTGCGTGCGTGCGCATCACAGCCAGATGAAGATCATCATATTAATGCGGCTTTCATATTCACTGTTTCCAACAATCCACACGCTCAAACTAATTATCGTCTGAGGACTCCCTCTTTTTTTTTTTTTTTTGTCATCGGACTTGTTTAATCCAACAATTCCCTCTAGTGGTGAATTATTGTTAGTGACTTTTTTAAATATGAAAGTCAAACAGAGTCAAAGCTGAACATCCTTTCCACTGAACTGGTTGCCAATCAGTTGCTGGGCAGTTTTCACACATTTTTACATTTAATTACACCATGGCCTACATATTATGTTTCTATGCACATGGCCCCAAGCCATGTCAGCCTGCATTGCTTTCACGTATGTGTAATTTTGCCCCCTGTGCCCCTGAGAGTAATTTCTCCCAAAGAGAAGCAGTGATGCGGACATTCTGCCGCGCTCGCTTTGTGCCCCGGCGCTCTCGTTTTCTTTCCTCTTTTCTTCCTGTTGTGCCTCGGCATCCCCCTGTCATCTCACTTCATTCGCCCTGTGAGATCGGACGGGGGAGCAGCACGAAAATGAACAGGATAGCAAATCGGCATTTCAACCAATGAGCTCACATAGAGTGCCTCGTGGTTTGATTTTCGCAAGAGTTTTGTCGTTTATTCCAACTGTTTACTGAGCTTTTTTTTGGCGATGTGGGACGACAGGATAGACCTGTGGAGGCTCAAAGCCAGCACCTCGGCGAGGGGAAAACAACTCCACCCTGGCTCCTCCTCGGCCCCCATCACTCCCTCATTTCCCGCCATCTCACCTCCCTTCCACGTGTCTCCCCCTTTCCAGCCTTCGCGCTCTTTCCCCGTGCCCCATTCGCGTCACCCCCACGTCCGTTCCTCCCCTTCCTTCCCTTCGCCTTCCCCACCTTCCCGTCGCAACCATCCCGTCATCTTCGCCCCCTTCTGCCCTCCTCCTCATGTCCACCTCCAGCACCCGCCATCCTTCCCTGCGCCCTTGACGCAAACCTCCACCCAACCCTCCCATCACTCCTCCCCCCCGGTTGTCGTCGTGCGATCTTCTCCTCCTCCGCCCCGTCCCTCCCTCCACCCTCGTTTGCCGTCGCCCGCTGACGCTCGCTCCGTTTTTGTCTCTCAGGAGCTGCACAGGAGGTACGAAGCAGCTCCTGAATCCACCAAGACCAAGGCCCTGCAGACGGTCATCGAAATGAAGGTGAGGCTCAAAGAAGAAAAAGGTCCCGCGCACACTCTCGACACTTTCATTTCCCCGGCAGGATGCCAAAATCAGCTCGCTGGAGCGCGGCATGAGGGAACTGGAGGAGGAGGTGAACATGCTCAAGTCCAACGGCGCGCTCAGCACCGAGGAGCGAGAGGAGGAGATCAAGCAGATGGAGGTGTACCGATCCCACTCCAAGTTTATGAAGACGAAGGTGACTCATTGAAATCGCATATTGTTACTTCAACAAAGCAGGGATACGTCAAGCGAAATAGGGCAGGAAGTGGCTTCCTTTTATGGGCTGTGTGTCTCGCGGTGCCACAGTATACTTTCCTCCTCCTCGCCAGGTTGATCAGCTGAAGGAAGAGTTAGGTCACAGCCAATCAGAGAAGGAGGAGCTCAGGGAACGGGCCAATGAGCTACAGCGCGAGGCGTCCGCAGTAAGAGACGCGCCTCCGTCTCTGCCTGTTGGCTGCTGTCCTGCCGCTCGCTAGTCCGTGTTCGCTTTTTACCTCTCGTGCCGCTTCTATATTGCTTCTTTCGTCGACTCCCGCTAGTGTGACTGATGTCCAACGCTAACCCGCTCAACCTTCCGTGCATGACGTTTCCCAGTAGCTGAGTTAGGCTTGTTGATAGGTTGACTAATATTGCATAGAATAGTTACTGTGTGTGTGTGCTTTCACCAAGACATTTCAGCCTTATGCGACTTTGTAGTGGAGTACAAACGATGCATTAAAAATTGTCATTATTTTATTTGGTTTTGCTGATACGCTGAAGAAATAAAAGCCCCAAAAATGACCACGTTGATGTCTAAATATTAGCCGTAAACAAAAACAATCGATTTTCATGTCTACGTCACACACTCCTTCAAAAACATTTCAAAAGGCTTTCCACCACTATGCGAGTCCATCTTTTTTTTTTTTTTTTTTTTTTTTTTTTTAACCTCCTTGTTTTTATTTATTTATTAAAAAAACAGATGGATCAGGTGAAGCAGGAGCTGAATCGTAAGGACAGCGAACTGTTGGCGCTCCGCACCAAACTGGAAACTCTGAACAACCAGTTTTCGGACAGCAAGCAACATGTGGATGTCCTCAAGGAGTCGCTCACCGCCAAGGAGCAGCGGGCTGCCATATTACAGACCGAGGCACAGTTGCTGTTCCATGACCAAAAAAAAAGTACATCACATCAATCAGATGCGATGATGTTGACCTTCTCATTGTGATGCGCGCAGGTGGACGCGCTGCGCATTCGCCTGGAGGAGAAAGAGTCGCTTCTGTCCAAAAAGAGTCAGCAGATATCAGAGATCTCAGACGAGAAGAGCACGCAGAACGGAGAAATCAGCGACCTCAAGGACATGCTGGATGTCAAAGAGCGCAAAGTCGTCGTGCTTCAAAAGAAGGTCAGTGGCGGTTGTTGGTGTGTGCGCACACAAAAAAAAAAAAAAAATTGTTGTAACACTCAGCAGTTTCATTTCATTGGACTGCAATTTCAAATTACAACCAGCAGATGGCGCCCTGACACAGGCTAGTGGAAAAGCTGCAGCACACCCAGCACACAAAAGTGCCATTTTACAAGAAATGGCTGTCTGACTGCATATTTGGCGAGCGACATATGTGCGGGAAAAGCAAGATGCATCCGGCCGAATTAAATAAAAGCCACATGCGCCATTTATCCTGATCATCGTTAGTTTGGGAGTCCAGTGGTCAAGTGCACTCTTTGAAAGTCTCCCATAAACAGACGGGAGTTCATGAAGGACATAATTACCAATCAAGCAGACAGCTCTGAAGCAAGACAGAAGGGAGGAGAGAAGGGAGAGAGAGCGCGAGGGCGTGTTTTGAAATGCAGATGAATACTAATGAGCTGCCCTCGTTCAATAAAAGATGGCCTCTCGTCGGCTTCAAATGGAATGCAAGGCAAACTGTCTGAGTGGGCGCCAGTGACGCGCCCTGCCGCTTCCACCCGGGTCGCATCGTTCCCGACTTGTTTTTAAGCCATTTGCGCACGCTGAAATACCATCGGAGGCTTATTATTGCGACGGTGGGGGGAAAAAAAAATGGGGTACCCCGTCGACAATTTTGTCAGTTTCGAGAAGTGCAGAAGGGATCAAAGACTTGCGGCTTTTCAATGTCAAGCGCCCGCGTGTGTGTGAGGAGGGCGAGCTGTCAGTCAAGCTGTCAAGTGAGCGGTTGATTAATGAGGTGCCGGAGATGTTTTACTGCACGCACAAAAATACACGCCATGAAAGTGGGAGGCTTCTTTTTTTTTCCTTTAACTTGATGACATCAATTTTCATGTCTCAAATCATAAAGACACAAAAAAAGGAGGGACTCTAGTTTTATGTCAACTGCATTTTTTTTTATTTTTTTATTTAAATAGTTGATGATAATGTGATAAAAGCCAAGGCGATGTCAATGATCTGTTTTCAGCACGCTGCAGTGGCAGCCTTTCTGTTCACACCGGTACGAATATATTAAGACTGGCGGCGAGCAGATGAGCCAAAATGATCGAGGCCAATTGCTATTTTCATCTCGCGAACGAGCAAGTCTAAAAGTCGACTCCTTTAAACAACACCTTTGTGAATTTGCAAAGTCAGTTCATCAACCTCTCACTCACTATATACTGTATTAATGACCCCTAAGTTGGCCCCGAGGAGACATTTTGGACAGTCATGTGCTTCCAACTTCATTGGAACAGTTTTGTGAAGGCCCGCGGTGCCCCAAAGGCGCGTTTGGCTGAATTTGCTGTGGAAGCGTTTCAGTCATCAAACACCACGAGCCAAAATAGCTAAACGTCATCTTTTCCTTCCATTTTCACTTCCAGTAGACCCGACGGCCATTTTCCCGATACGTTCAGAAATCTGACTTCAGTATACTGCATACACACACACACACACACACACACACACACACACACACACGTGTTTATTTCTTCTCCTCGCAGATCGAGAACCTCCAGGATCAGCTGAAGGACAAGGACAAGCAGCTGAGCGGCCTCAAAGGCCGAGTCAAGTCCTTACAGACCGACACCTCCAACACTGACACGGCTCTGGGAACGCTGGAGGAGGCACTGTCTGAGAAGGTACGCGAAAACCCGGTCGCTCCTCTCCGGATGTCGCCCCCCAATCTGACCACCCGCGTCTTTTAAGCCAGCGGGAAGCGAACCAGTAATCACACGGCCTGCTTATTAAATTATTCACGGCATGTCTATTAATTGTTTGGTCACTCATATTCGGGCCAATGTGTGTATTGGCAGGCGTAGGTGACTGTCGTCTTCTACTTTCCCAAGCCCCCCCCTGCCCCCTGACTCCCCCTCCTCATTTTTATTGCATTGGATGTCTTTCCTGCTTTCTTTTACATTCTATCTTTCCCCTTATGTCACACCAACACCGCGCTCTTGTTGTGTCTTCAATTTGAACTCCCGTTCACTCGCTTGGACCGACCACGGCCAGCATCTATAGTCATTTAGTGGATATAAAATGCGCTGCCAGAACGGATTATGTGTCGAAAATCACGCTTTGGCTGTTTATCCTGCCGGAGCTGCCATACATATTAAGTTTAATGCAACTGTTATGAGCGTGGAAATTCAATCTGGATTGAAGGTGCTTGACTTTTTTTTTTTTTTTTTTTTTTTAATGTCGTTGTTTCCATCTGTCATTCTTCCCCCTTCCCCCTCGCCGCATCCAGGAACGTATCATCGAGCGATTGAAAGAGCAGCGGGAGAGAGAGGAACGAGAAAAGGGAGATGAGGTGGAGTCCACCAAGAAGGAGCTGAAGGAGCTGCGGGAGAAAGTTTCCCAGATGCAGGCCGACCTTGCGGACCGCGAGGTAAACACGCAAACATCGATATCTGTGCTGTGAGACCCGCACGGGCATATTCTCCACCCTCTCCTTCCCTGTCAAGGAGAACCTGACTGATCTATCGCCGTAGAACAGATCCCCCTCTCCTGCCAAGGTCCTTGTGCCGAAGGACCGCAATGATAAAACAGTCACGTCCCCTTGACAACATAATATAAGACCCGCGGTCGGTGGGAAGCACACCTCCTCGTGACGTTCATCTTAAAGCGCACATCTGCGGGGAAAACGAAGGAGAAAAGGGGGGGGGGGTGACGAGGCAATTTCCTGCACTCGTAATGACGCTGGCATTCGCTGCTAATGCGTGTGGTTAGCAACGCTGGAATGAGGTTTTGAAAATCCTGAAAACAATTCAAATCAAGTTGTCTCTGCTCCCAGACGCTGTGGGCGTGCCCACTGACTGTGCTCAAAACCGGCCCCTCAGCCACTTGACTGTCAACTGCCAATACAATACCTCTATTAAAAGCATCTTTCTTATACCCGCAAATATAGCATCGGCATATTCGATACGCGGGCGGCCCGGTGGTCCAGCGGTTAGCACGTCGACCTCACAGTGCAGAGGTACCGGGTTCAATTCCAGCTCTGGCCTCCCTGTATGGAGTTTGCCTAGTTTCCCCGCGCCTGCGTGGGTTTTCTCCGGGTACTCCGGTTTCCTCCCACATTCCGAAAACATGCACGGCAGGCTGATTGAACACTCTAAATTGTCCCTAGGTGTGAGTGTGAGCGCGAATGGTTGTTTGTCTCTGTGTGCCCTGCGATTGGTTGGCAACCGGTTCAGGGTGTGCCCCGCCTATTCCCGAAGACTGCCCGCGAGCCAACCTGTCGTGGCTGCAACAATGAGGCACTCTAAAGCAGCCACGCCAGCCTAAAACCTCTGTCAAGTGAGACTTTTTTTTCTTCCCTTTTTTCTCCTCCTAGCACGAGCTGAGTAGTGATCATGAAAACCTTTTAAAAGAGGAACCCCACCCAAACACTGCGCTAAAATGCACACAATATTGTTTAAAAAAAGAAAGGAAAAAAAGCCAGGGTGGGTAATTTCGCCTTCTCTGACTTGAACTATAGTATATGCGGTTACTTTTAGTATGTTGTGGGCTCATGAAACCGGTCGTTGTATAATTTCCAGATATACACGGGAGAAAATAAGCATTCCGGAATGCCCGTGTGGGGTTTGCCTGACAACAGCGGCATTACACACACACGCACACACACACAAAACCTAAATACTGGATAACGAGAGGAAAGCAGCAAGTATTCTCTGACCGAACACGATCATCCGCAATCTGGTTTTTAGTGGAGTCGGTCGAGTGTAAAATTATACGTCTTGGTGCCTCCCCCTCCTGTGCGCTGGACGCGTCTCTATCACTGCTGCAAAGACTGAAAAAGGGGGTAGAAAAAAAAAAGGAGATGGACTTCACGCATGGAAAGATGAAGTGGGAAGAATGAGGTGGGGAAAAAAAAGAGACAGAGTCAGGTCATGGGAAAAAGTTTTGAAGAGCAGGGTGATGATGAGTCACGCTCTTGACTTGAGAGGAATACCTCAAAGGATAAAAATACCAGTTTATTTTGATTGAGGGCTTTTATTTTCCCCACAGTTATGACTAAGATGCAAGGAGCAGGTTATTGCGGGACGGAAGTGCTTTTGAAAGGGGGGGGAAAAAAACAACGCCACCGTCAAGGCAAAGAGGTTAAAAGGTCGATGTCCGGTATGTTATGATGGAATTATAATTCAAACATCTATTTCCGTTCTGAATTATGAGTGACGGATCAGATTCTGATTATCTGGAATTTTTGGATCATTTGCGACCCTTTTTAAATTTTTTTTTTTTTTTTTTTTTTTTTTGTGTACACCCCCAAGGCTTCGGTTTTGGACCTGAAAGAGAAGGCCTCCTCCCTGGCCTCTTCGGCTCTGAAGAAGGACAACCGGCTGAAGAGCATGGAGATCACTTTGGAGCAAAAGAAGGAGGAGTGCGTCAAGCTGGAGAATCAACTGAAGAAGGTCCGTAAGTCAAATGCAGATGTGCGCGGACGTGGGTTTCTCCCGTCCCGTTTTTGACTCTTTGTGTAGGCAGACTCCCAGTTGGGTCGGTTTTGATTGACACTCCGCGCGTGTGAACGTGTGTGTGTGTTGCGTTTTTTTTTTTCTTCTCTCTCTCTCCTCATTTATTTGTCTTCTCCTGCACACACATCTGCCCATTATGCTGTCAAGACTCCCAAACATTTACGCTTCATATAAAGACCCGTAAAAGGGCTTGCGCACTCCCAAAACTAATAGGGTTTATAACTTGTGGGCACGCATACACACACGTGCGTATGCATACGCAAAATGTGTCCCAAGAGCAACATTTGCTTCTGGAAAACACATCACAGCTGTTATAACTTCGGGTCCTAACTTTGGGTTATTTTTCTTTGTTTTATTTTTGGTGTGTGTCTTCCTTTTGGCACAGCAGAGGTGCGGGGAGACAATGCGACTACTGTGTGTTTAGAGGCAAACATCATCTTAGAAACATTCCAACCTAGTTCAGAATCTGGAGATCGGTTTGCAGTCAGAAACGTCAAACGACTGACAACTCTGTCGTCATCAATTGTCTTTCAGCGTTTCAATTCTCTTTGACGGCGCATTCGTTCGGTATTAGCGGTCTGCAGCTAGCTACCACGCGGCGTCGGCTGCAGAGCGCCTTGTTGTTGGCTGTGAGTGCATGCATGCCACACAGCGAAAGATAGAAGGCAAACTTTTGGGTTTTTTTTTTTGGGGAGTTCAACTTATTTACAGCTAGCATGTGGACCGCAGCTTCAGGCTGCAGCGGCGGCTTTAGTGTCTCGTCGTCCGCCGTAAGTGCAACCTTGAACGAACCCAGACAAGAACGCAGCCTTCCCCACTTTCAGAAAAGATCTTTTGTCGTCCAAAATGGTGTGAAGAATCTTATATGAATGTTATTCAGTGTTGACAATGCTGCGTTTTTGTATTCGCAGTGCTTGCAATTGTGTTTTCTGCCTCGTTAAACCTGTATACAAGTCGTCCTCAGCACAAATGTTGTTTTTGGCTCGTTCCCTTCTGTCTGAACTCATTCAACTTCTCGTTTCCATAGTTGCCACTCGTCTCCCCGTTGATTTTCGGTGATTATCTTTCGTTCGCAGGCTCAAAGCGTGGCCGCCGAGTCAGCAGCCAGCGCCGAACTCGCTCAGCGCATCGCCAGCCTGGAGCAGGAAGTGAGCCGTCACAAAGAGGACGCCGACAAGGCTCAGGCCGAGGTGGAGCGGCTCCTCGAGATCCTCAGGGAGATGGAGAACGAGAAGAACGACAAGGAGAAAAAGATCCACGAGCTGGAGAGGTGAGCGACGAAGGGGGAAAGAAAAATCACCACCCAAAAGACATAAAAAGGCTTCACAAAGTCGCCCCGCAGCTCAGTAAATCAAACGCCAGTCTGGTTTAAATCATTGAATCTCAGAATAGACCCAACGTTGTTTTCCATTTTCCGAATTCATTCAATTATGCTTCTTCTCACCTTCTCTTCTTTCTCCCCCCTTTTAATTTGGACTTTATTGCATCTGTCACCGCCCGTCCGTTCTTATTTTAACCACCTCATTCACGCTCGCGTGTGCGCACATTGCTGCGCACACACCAGAAAGCCTTCTCATCTGTGGCGTTCTCAGCAGACGCCAAAACAAGCCCCTCCCCCAGCCGCCTCACAGCAGCCAATGGGGGGGCTGGTGTGGGACTACCTGGGCACGTGAGTGGAGGCTCTGTTAACCATTCGGAAAGTTGCACGACACACCCAAAAAGAGAAGAAAAAAAAACAACTCACTTTGCCTGTCAGAGGTCGGGATATGCCAGCGTCCCCTCCCATGCGGGGAAAAAAAATGACTCCCATCCTTCCTGTATGGGAAAACAACATTAATTAAAGTTGTCACGCATTGGAAATAATATAAACAAAAAGAGGAGATGAATGGCCGCATTTTTTTTTTCCTTTATGGGACGCAGCTGAATTCACTCATAAACTCCATTTAGAGGCGCAGCGTCGCACGCTAGCGGGCCGAGTTTCTCCAAATCTTAAATATTGTGACCGTTATCGCGGGCCGTCGGCGCAAGTTGCGCACCGCGGCCTGACAGCGCCTTCTGCTCCCCAAAACCGTGCGGCCTGCCACTCTTTGTTCTCGCCCGTCACTGATGCAACTCTTTCATTTAGTCTGTCTGCTATTAAGCTCGGGATGCTTGACTTGCTACTAACGACCAACTCCTTTTTTTTTCTTCCTTTCCGTAACAATCACAGGAATGGTTTCTAACTTCGGTGTGACTTTGTCTGTGTCCACCACCCTCGTAACACTTTTTGTCGTTGTTGTCGTCTTTGTGTCTGCCGACACCGACGGGCTCTTTTCCCAAAACGTCGCGCAGAAAGAGAAAAATTATTCAAAGGCCAGACGTCTTTTTCATCATCCGTGTCCACTTACTCGTTAGGTCCCACTGCAACCACTCCTCTCTTTCCATGTCTTTTTTTTTTTTTTTTTTTTGAGGGCAGTAAAACTAATGACTGTTAATGATTCCGGGGGACATTCGTTTCAAAGTGGCCACGTCTGGCCGACCGAAAAAAATAAAATAAAAAAATATGCGGCTATTTATAATTCAGCAACCACCGACGTCCAATTAGTGGGGGTTTAGCAGCGTATGTTTAATCATTTATTTCGTCTGAGGCGAGTCGCGACCGCAAACTGGAATGGGGCTCGCCCGGTGGATGGAGACCTCCACCAAGGTGCCCTCCAAAAGTATTGGAACGGCGAGGTCAGGTTTTTCTTTCAAAGGGGACTCTGTGTCAATATTCTCATTCATCCGTGGATTCTTAAAACCTGATCTCGCTCGCGACGAGACCGTGTGGTCGTAATGTTTCACCTCTCATCGTTGTTGATGTGTTAAGAGGCCGAATGACTAAAACCTTCGGAAGGGAATCTCCCCGGCTTCGAATGCGGGATGGAACGCTTCCTGCTCACCCTCGCGATCGATGGCCATCACTTGTTTTCATACCGCTGTGGAGTGTAAAATCTAGGCCAGGTGGAACGTTTCCACCCGGCCACTGTATGACTTAGCGGCGGCAACGCAGATGATGAAAAGCTCGCTTTGCGGGTTCACCAAGGCCAGCAATCGTCGACCTTCCTGCGTGTGTAAATCCAGCTGTATAATGCGGTGCCGGGCTATTTATTTCAGTAACAAGGATGGTAATTGGAGCAGACGGAGTGACTTCACACTGGGGGGAAATGGAGCTGAAAAATCTGCCATGATGGCCAAAATAAAGGATTTGGACAGCGGGGTGGAAAACAAAGCGAGACAGCGACGACGGAGAGGAAGGAAAGAAGAGCGAGAGCGCGGGATGGAGACGAGTTGAAAGAATTGGAAGAAAAATAAATAAATAAGAAAGGGGAGGACATTTGGAGATGAACAAATTGTGTCAAGTGGAGGCACCCAAGACATTGAGCAAGTCAAAACACACAATGAGCTCCCTTACTCACACTCTGGGCTCAAAGTAACCCAAATTGGCTGAACTTGTTCAAAAAAACAGACTCCAAAGTTGTTTCGTTTGCCTGCCTCACCATTGCACTGCTCGTGCCTTCCATCCTGCCTGCGGAACGCCTGTGCGATGATGATGATGTCTGTGCACCTGTCTCACTCGCGCTTCCCTCCGATCTGCCGTTGCACTTTGTGTGATCAAGCCTGATAACCCCCGCGCTCACTTCCTGTCTCACCTTTCCCCTCTTTGGCTTTCTTTCATCTCGCCGACGCAACGTCGCCCTGCCAAGTCTTGCCTCGAGGTTAGTATACGGCATGCCTTCTTTTTCCTGCCGGCGTCCTCCTTCGGTTCCCGTCCTCGCTCTTGTCATAAACTCTGCTTTTTTAATCATTCCCGTCGTGTCTCGCCTGGCTTTGCCCGGGCTTTTCCACTTTGACGGCTTCTTGCTTTTGTCAGTCGCATCGCTGTCTCCCTCGAGGAGGAAACTCTCGCACCGTTGTACCATCCTACTCATGCTCAAACTTGAATCAGCACATGTTCATGAATGCGGATGCACGCTTGCGACTAATGAACTCCAGAAAGGGATATCGCTTGATCAATTTTTACACTTCGGTGGGTTGGGGCAATAGGCCGAAAAAGAACGTGAAAGTGTGGAAAGCATTTTTCTTGAATTTGCGAAGAACAATGGAGAAGTCCAATAGACCATATATTTGTGTGGATAAGGCACGCAGTCAACGTCACGCATGGTCGTGTATATCCGGAAATCAATTTCTTGGTCTTGTTTTTGTTGGAATGGACAGAAGCTAAAAAAATAAAAAATAAATAAAAACAACAGAACAAAAATGTCCACCCCCCCAAAAAAAAATATTGTGAATGCCCTTCCCTCAGCATTCACGCAATTAATCCAAGAGGTACGAGAGCGAGTGAGCGTGTGCTAGTCAGCCGATAGCCCGCAAAATCTCCGTGCAGCACCTCTGCGCTAAGTAAGAGTCACACAAGGACCTCAAAGCAACTGCAGGAACAAAGAAACAAAACAATTCTGTTTGGGGGGTGGGGGGGGCTGCGGAAACATTGATGTCAGACGTTTGGCGGAGGATGAGGAGTTCCTCACATCAAAATAGGAGATGTGTCGCACGCAAAAAAAAAAAAAAAATAGAAAAGACAAACAAAAAAGGTGATGAAAGAACTTCTTTCGCTTACCAACTTTTTCTTCTTCGAGTTTCCCACGAGAGTTGACTCACCACAACATGAGCGAGGACGGCCGGGAAAGTTCAAACCTTTTAACGGCACAATGGAGAATAATTCGGGTAGAACTCAGAGAAACAAGGAGATGTTGGGAAATTCAATATGACCTTTTTGCCTCTAAAAAAAAAAAAATCACCAAGTTCTTTAATGCTGGAAATGAAATACCTACGCATGAAAGCAGAGGGCTGTTATCGTAACTTAGCATGAAGCTCATCGGGCCTTGTCCAACACTAACAAAACCCCCGAACAGCGTGTTCAAAACTACTTAACGCGCTTTATCGCATCTGTTTAAGCCTTACCAAAACGCGCCACTAATTTCACGCTCAGGAGCTGGAACTCGGACAATAATATGAGCCTTTTGAGGTACTCCTGCTTTTTTTTTTTTTTTTTTTTTTTTTAAAGCATTCTCTAGCTATGTCGTGGATGATTTGTCCGTTAAAAAAAAACCCTTCAAAAACGAAATGGCGAGACGGTAGAATGCAATTTTCGTTCCATACATATCTGTCAACGGTAGTGATTTTTAAGATGTGGTCAAAGCAACACCCGGGGCTCATGGGCTCCCTCTAGTGGTATCTGAAAGAATCACTGAATTAAACGTTGAAACTCTTGTTTCCGTTCTTTCGTTAGCAGTTGGGCTTTTGCTTTGTCTTTGTTCCCATTTTAACCTGATTAACCTTCACATGCCTTCCATCCATGTCTATAAAGAAGCAAGAAAATATGAGCTATTAGACTTCCTTTCAGTGTAAAAAATAAAATAAAATTGCGATGTTTTTTTTTTTTTTTTGTAAAAGAAAGCGCGAAAGTGGCTAAAAGGAAATCCTTGATGTTAATTTTGTGTGAACTGTGTGCAGTAAACATATATGAGTCCCCGGGAGTATTTCTGATCAAATATTGATGCCGGACTCCAAATGCAATATTAATATTACCTTCGCGCGGGCGCCTGAATATGAGCCGCATGCTAATGAAGGAGGTAGAAAAGTTCTTGTGTCGGTGAGTTGAAGGGAAGTTTTTGGAGCGGTGTGTTAGCGTGGCGAGTAATTTATCTGGGAATGTTGGCGGTTTCGTTCAAAGTGCCGTCACCTCGCTTTTGCGCTTATTGACGTTAACGCCTCGCATAGCGTGTTTGCCGCGCGGGCCACCCTGTTTACGTGAGCGCCGGCGCGCTTAAATGAACACATGTAACAGCGCTCTCTTGAAATATTTGCGTGTGTGGTCCGAGGGGCTTGATGCCATACAAAGCAGCTCGTGTTTGGACTCGATATAAATTTGATCTCACTTAAGGAGGAATTTAAAAGTGCATGGACATAAATTCCTTGCATTCTGAAGCTTCTCATGAGAGGGCAAATATGGAGGTTCAATACCGGCGTATTTTTTAGCGCCGTGGGAGTCCGATGATCACGTTTTAAGAGCCTGCAGCGGACGTTTCGGGGTGAAAAATGTGGCAATTGTTTGACGGCTGCTGCGGTTGCCTGTCATCCATGGTGCGCTAAGTGGATGGGGATAGAACCAAAGAGCCTCAGTCAGAGGCAGAGGCAAAGGGGGGTGGGGTGTGGGGGAAGCCAACGAGAGCAGAGTGGAGTTGCCGTCGAATGCGCGAGGCTTGTGATCTACAAGCAGCAAATGAACTAGATGCAAGCCAAACAAGTGATTAGCAGGATAAAAATCAAGATGAAACCAGAGCGGGGGGTCAACAGGGAACACTGCCCGACCGAAAAAGAAAAAAAAATCAACTCCACATGCACCCCCTCGCATACATGCAGTAAATGTTGCATGAAGAAGAGGGTGGGGGTGAACCTCGGAGTGCTGGATGCTAGGCGCTTCCTGGACATTCTCCAATCGGAACATTCCTGCCTTTTTATGACCTGTTACGCACACACGCGGGGCTAGAAAAGATATTTCTCCCCCCGCCCCCCAAAAAAAAATACTGAAACCATGCAAGGTGATGCAGATCAGATTGAGCATGTGTCTTTTTATGTGACTTGATGTATTTCGGTGACAGGCTGAGGTGAAGAAGAAAGATCCGGGTCAGGGCACCAATTGAAAAGTTCTGCGGGAACCTTCACCCGGTCCTTTTATCTTTAATGCTCGCAATAGTATACTCACAGTAACTACCAGAAGACTGCATATTCTCAGCGGAACTATTTAATGGATGCCAGGTGGAATAAGGTCTACTCTGTCTAGGGCTTTAAAACTTTCATTTGGTCCATTATCAGGAGGGGTGGGAGGGGGGATAATCGAAATACTCTGCATAATCCATTGAAGCGCTGGACTAGCGTCCCGCGCATCCGTCCGTCCGCAGCGACAAACGTCCGCGAAGAAAGTCGGGAACACAAAAACTTGAGTCGACGCCCACCTCTGTGCGGTCGCTTTTCAGACCTTGTGTGTTTCTTATCCTTCATCCCGAGCCGTCATTCGGCGTAAGCTGTTAAACCTTCCTGGCATTAGAGCCAAGCTGACTGCAAGTATGTGAGCGCGTGTGAGTGAGTGAGTAGCGGGGGGGGTATGAAAGGTCCCAATCGAGACAAGCGGGTGTGATAGCCGATAGGCTTGTGACAGAGTCGCAATGGCTTCCAGGCAGCTTATAGGCGAAGGGGATTAAATCCTTTCTCCATCCAACAGGCCCGCTGCTTCCATGACGAATCTCTCTCCATTTTTTATTTTTTTTAATATTTTTTTTCTAAGCCACGTCAGACCATTGTGTCGTCCGGGCCATTGAATTTGCCTGCACTTCCTGATCATCGGCTAAAACTGCACCTAGTGGGGTTGTGGCATTAGCGACGGTCTATAGAGTTATTGGAGTTGCGAAAAACCAGTACAAAAGTTGACTTTTCATCCTGCTCCAGACAAAGGAGGCAGCCTCTCATGTTATCAGGTTACAGGGTGCATGAAAAGGTTGATGACGTTTTTTTATTATAGTATTTTTTGGGGGGTTACCTTTGACATCCTCATTCACTGACACCCCTGTCACTCACCAGCCTCCCACCCTTTCAAATCCATACACACTCAACGTCGCAGCTATTATAAGAAGTGGGATGATCGATACGAACCCGCAAATATTCCCTAATTGGCTTGGTGCGTTTTGTGCACGCAGGCAGATGAAGGATCAGTCCAAGAAGGTGGCCAGCCTGAAGCACAAGGAGCAACTTGAGAAGAGCAAGAACGCCCAACTGATGGAGGAGGCCAAGAAAAGGGAGGACAACATGAATGAGAGCTCCCAGCAGATAAAGGTATGAAGGAGGGAGGGAAGGGAGGAAAAAGTTTCTCCTCCGATTCTCTCTCTGGCCCCATACCTTGAATATATTGACGCGATGACAACAATGGCAACATGTCAAAATGTGACAGGGAGCCGCCTTGGGCAATGTCAAGCAGGCAACCCGCGCGCACACATTGGATGAAGCTCGGGGAGTGTGCGCGAGCGGGTATCCGGAGAGGATGATTGACAGGGAATGAGGTGACAAGAAAAGCAAAGGACCCACGCCCACGCGTCGCTATGCGGCGAATGTTGTGGCTTTTCAACGGGGCTCCCTTCTCATGCCGCGGCGTCTCCGCATTGAAGTCGAGATGTGGAACTGCGCCGTCCTTCGCTTTCTTCCAGCTCGTCCCCTTGAACTTTCCCTAGTCACCTTTTCTCCTACCCACCCTCACCTCCCCCCCAACCGCACCCCGTCTCCGCTCTTCCAGGAATTGTTCGCGGCCTCCCTTGATTAGAGGCAGATGACAGTTTTCGCTTGTGTGACTCCTCAACCGCGTGTCGGGACCCCGGCAAATAACCGTAACCGATGTTTCATTTCGGAGCCGTCTCGCGGCATTCTTTGACCGGGAGTCAGTGAAACCTGAGTATAATTCGGACCGTAAATTTGATTCAGCACAATAAGAGCCGTTTAATCAAATTAGGCCCATCTCAGTCCGCATAGTTAGACTCCGACTCATGTTGCATCTGGACCGGGACTCCAAAGATGTCCAACTTAAATGTCACGTCATCATATTTTTGACTCGCAAAAACCCCTTGAGGTGTATTTGTGAATTCCAAAGTCTCCTCAGGGGGAGCGGATTATCAGTTTAATCAGATTAAGCGGAAACTGATGTGTCCGAGTAAAATATTTTGCTCGTCAGTTTGTGTGAGCCGCCGTCATGTTTTGCGAGGCGCTTTCAAACTCACCATGTTGGCTTTTCAGAATCTTAAAATGCTGCCCTCAGGGTTTGCGAGGTGGTTTGTGCGCTCATTTAACATATTTTCATTTTATTAGTCCGCTGGTGCAGAGTAAAAAAAAAAAAAAGAAAAGAAAAATCCAACTTAACAAATGCGGCGTCCCCGCCAAAGTAAAGTCCAACCTTTTCCATGGATGAAAATACATCGATCACTCTACTGGCATGGCGTGCCGAATTTTTCTTTTTTTTTTTTTTTCATTTTGTGCACGTGTGTGTGCAGGACTCCATACGCTATAAGGAGGAGCGCATTGAGGAGCTGGAGGAGGCCCTGAGGGAGAGCGTTCAGATCACGACCGAGAGGGAGCTGGTGCTTGCCCAGGAGGAGCAGGCCCGCACACACGCCGAGAAACAGGTACTCTCTATCTTCGTGTCACACCTTCCAAAAAAAAAAAAAAAAAAATGTGACCCCAAACCTTCACCTTCCCTTCCACCGCTCAACCCTTGAGGATTAGCTTTTGTATTTTTTCCCCCCGCCGTGTCCGGCACAGACAAAAAGTGTTTCTTGGCCGACATATGAAACAGGGCCGTGCCAAATGTGGCTCATGGCAGCGCACATGCCCCCGTGTGCCAACTGAGCTCATTCAGGTGCGGCCGCGTGTTTGCCCAGTCGCTCCTCGTTTCAGTAAACATCCCTATTTCAAGAACAACTTGCATTTTGTCCGCCCCGCCGGCACACAAACAGCTTTGTGCCAAGCGGGAGCGCCTTGTGTGTTATCCGTGTTTATCTCCGGCGAGGAGGCGGAAAAGTTCCGGAGGAAGCGTTTCGGAGATGTGACCGCAGTTTGCTCATCGGTCCAGGAGTGACTTAACAAGGCCTCGGAGATGTAAAATGTTCCTCCAGAGGGCTGCAAGGCTTTTGACAAGTGTTGGAAAAAAGACAACAAAACAGCGTGGGCCGTGAGGATGAATACTGCCCTGAGAAAACACGGCGCCGTGTAGCTGTTGGCAAAAAACGTCGGCAGTCCATTGTTGTTCCTGCCTCTAAATGTTGGCCGTCCCGTAGACAGACGTTCGAGGCAAACACAAAGAGTCGTTTTGCTTTTGCTGCATTTCGCTGACACGCTCCGTCACGGTAAATACGGATTATTTGGACAATTATCTTCAGCGGCGAGTCCGCGCGCAAACTCACAATCCAAGTCGGTAATGATAGCGCCGCGGCTTGTTGTTTTTTGACACACATAAGCCTCGTGGAGTGGACATTGCGGCCTGTTGCGCAAGAGCTCCGGACTCCAAACATTGGGAAACGCGAAGCTTGATTTTAATGGACATAAACCGACAAATACTGTCTGTTCACATGACTTGAAACGGCGGATCAGCATATTTTTGGAGCTGGTCATGAACGACAACTTCGAATGAAAGTTGATTTAGCATGTCCCAGTCACATTTATGATTATTATTATTTTGGGGGGGGTCAAAGAAATTGATGTTTTTTTTTTTTTGTTGGGTTTTTTTTTCCCCATTTTCGTTTTATTTCCTTAGTTTTGGTTCACAGAAATAGCCTGGTGGTGCTTCGCAGACTTACAGAGTTTCTGAAGCAAAATTTTTCCATATCGCACGCTGTGCCTCATTTAATTTTGCAGGGTGGGGGGGACAGAGACAGAAGTTTATGGTCACGTGGTCGTATCAGGACAATTTTAGTGTTGATATCTTTACTGTTCATAAGTACTGTCCCGAGGTGACCTTTTGTTTGCCGTATCCTCTCTCCAGTCGAACGGAAAGAAACATACGCTGCAAAGAAGTGCTTGGAAAAAAACATGTGTTCATCTTCCTGAAGTCCTGACTTTGTTTCCATTTTAGATGTATTGCCATGACACTTTTCAAAAAAAAAAAAAAAAAAAAGCTCAAAGCGGCCTCTTTAATTAGCGAAGCAGACGCCATTGAGGCAGGACGCGGTGCCGGTGAGCATCCTGGACTTTGAACGCCTCGGCGAAGTGGCACGGAGCAGAAAATGTCAAATTGCGGGGCCGGCGGCAGCCAAACTCAGACGTGGCCCAACATCAACAGCAATTCGGCCATTCTGTACAGGCCTGCAATGGACAGAACAGTGTTCAATCTACACGACATACATTCCTTCCAACACATATAAACATGACAGAAAAAGTGCAAACCGCTCTTTAAACAGCATCGCATTCAGTCGCGGCCAGATGGACTCCGCTTTGGATTCTCTGCAGAGACGCGAGAAAATAAATATTTTTTATGTGACCCTCTTTTTCTTTTTTTTTTTTTTTCTTTTTTTTTTTTTACGAGTGTGTCACCGCAAATTAGGCCTCGCCGTAATGATTCATAAAATCACGACGGCGGCAGAGACAATAATGAGGCGGTCAAAGGGGCCTTGCTTTTGCTTGTTACACAACGTGCAATCGAGCGTGTTTGTTTGTGCTAATGTAGCCGCAGCAGCCAAACACACACTAGGGCTGAAAAAAGAACTGAAATTAACGGTAAAGCACGGCACTAAACTGTTGAAGAAGCCAACATTCAGTGCAAGAATTCATTTTGTACATTTTTTGTTTGTTTTGTTTCATAAAAGTCAACTCACTCAAAATTGCAAAATTATTGAGGTACGATGTTTGTCCCGTATGCCGAATCCGCAAAAAAAATTTTCGGGCTACTCGGACACCATGAGATGCAGCGGGTGGTTGATAACGATGATTATTTTTTTCCTCCACTATTTTTTTCATATTTTTTTATTTTTCTCCGTATATTGTACGTATATTATACAAAAACGTACTGAATTTTTAGCAGCATTTTTGGACAAATTTTAGGGGTTTGTTTAAAAAAAAAAAACAATTTCAAATCCATTCCCGAGTTAGGCTTACTGCCATATATTGATAAGTGGCATGTGTGTGAACGTATGTGTAAGGGAACTGTCCCACTTGACCGCAGCAAAATATTAGCGTCATTTTGAGCGAGACGTTCGTCATTAATGGTCAGCGGAGAAAAGGTGTGTATGCGCTGCTTTGTGGCAACCGCGTGGCACACCCGCCCCGCCTCTGTCAGATTTCTGCTCCTCTGCAATTCCTCATTTTTCCAAGCAGGGTTCATCCCTCCATCCCTCAAGCTTCAGCCCTCCCCCTTGTGCTCGGAATTCAAAAATGGAACTTGTGTTTCCGACTGCTCATTAGCGCAATTCACATCTGCTGTTTCTTTCATTTGTCCGTATCACGACTGTTTTTGATTACTCGCGTCAAGGACCGTTACATATGCAGGATGCGGTTACTTGTTCGGCATGGTGAAAGATTTTCTTTTCTCAATAATGATAAATTTTATGAAGAAGATCGTCATCTGGCCTTGGCGGAGGTCATCCGAGCTCATCGTGCATTTTCACGACTTTTTGCTGTGTTGAATGACTTCACTGATACATTTCTGTCTTCTCTCTCCTCCTTACCGCTTTTCCTTCCCTTCTTTCTTGGCCGTCGTGGTTCCCTTTTCTTTTCCTCCACTTATTCCATCCGCTTGCCTCCGTGTCTTCTCTTTTCCTCCCGACGCGTGCAGCTTTCTCATATTGAGCTCGGCACGACTGGCTTTAGGTGGTCAAAGGTAACGAAGCGGCATCACGGGCATCACTGTTGGACATGACTTTGCGCCTTTTATGATGATGATTTTTTTTTTGTTTGCCCCCCCCATGTGAAGCGGGAAACAAGATACACTTAATATTCATTTTGCCGCTTTCAATGACCTTTACAGGGCCGGCCCTAGCCAATGTGACCCCCCGCCCCCACCTCCTCCACCGACGAATCACATGCTCATCCAAAAGAATTTAATTCATAACGCCACACAATTTAACATCTTAAATTGAACCATTTCTTCATTTCACCTGATTTTTGGCGGCCCCTCGAGTCCACGGCCCCCTTCGCGTCTGCCTATTCCGCCTGACGGGTGAAGCCGGCCCTGTCTTGTGCATGTAAAAACATGACTGAAAGCGTTTGCAGTCGTTCTATGCACACGCACACATCAGCAGGGGTATGTCATAAACTACCCGACATCCAAAAATAACGTGCAGACTATTTCTGTGGAAAAACACACGGATGAAGTTACGCATATACTGTACTGTGTGTGTGTGTCAGGTGGAGGACCTGCTGGTTGCCATGGAAAAGGTGAAACAGGAGCTGGAGGTGATGAAAGCCAAGCTGTCATCCACTCAGCTGTCACTGGCCGAGAAGGAAGGTCACCTGACTGCCCTGCGGGCGGAGAGGCGGAAGCACCTGGAGGAGGTCCTGGAGATGAAGTAAGAATCGGAATTTCATGTGGATCCTCCACCAGCCGTCACCCCCATCTTGACCCGCCCCTTCCCTTATCTCCTCTCTGCCCCGGAAAGCCGCAGAGTTAAGTAGACTATTAATGCAGTAACTGTGTAGCACTTTGGAGCTCTTCATATGATTGATTGCATACACAGACGTCCACCCGGGCTGCGTTTTTTTTTTAATGCAACATTAATGGACGGTCTTGAAGAGGCCAAGAGGAGTCCAGTGGTCTGATGTACTTACACCGCTGAGGATTTACATGGTCTGGAACAATACTTGAGCTTGAAGCAGAAGCCAGATAGAGTATCCAAGACCCCATGTGCCGCTTGTTTTAAACACGCCGCGGGATTCCTATTTATCGCGGCATCCCGGGGAAAAAATATACAGCGTGAGTTGGAGTCCCAATAACAGTTTGTTGATGCGAAGTGTGCATGCGTGGCACCTCATTTAAGGACAACAAGAGGGACTTTTGGGGGGGGGGGGGGGGGAGCACTTTTTATGTCAGAGATACGAAGTCGCATAAACATGCGCGCGTTGCGCCTCTTTGTTTTCCCGCCAGACGTTAAAAACAAACCTCTCCATTAACGGTGGCGCTAATGCGCGTTTGGAGGCTGGTAAAGTGCTTCATAAAACACATTAAATATTAACAGAGAATAGAAGAACATGTTTGTTCAAGTAAAGGTCAAGTCCATATTCAAATCATCTAAAAAAAACTTTACTTGCATCTCTGATTTGAAAATGTCAAAATTTGTTGGCCAGAGTCTTTGTTTAAAGACACAACCCGAAAACAGATTTTATTTTTATTTTATTTATTTTTGCTTCAGGTCAGTTCAATGGACATTGTGCTGCTCTTTGGCCACCTGGGGGCAGTATAATACAGACATACTGTACTGATGTACTGTACGTGGAAATGAGCCCAGCTCAATTAGCTGCTGTAATATTAGTCTTCTTAGAGGATAAAGAATATACGAATGTGAGTATCATGTTATTACAGTGACTTCAATGTAAGGGGTGATACAATTTTTTTTTTTTCTTGCAGTAGCTCGCTTCTTCTTTCGATATTTTCCGTTGATGTGCATGACGCCAGTGGCCTCCTGTGATGTGTACGACACGGTGCCGGCGTTTTTTTCTGTGTTCGTGGAGTACGTTTGTCTTTGAGGTTTGATGCCTGATTTGTTGCCCGATTGTACCAATAGGTGCAAAGTTGAATATTTCTGTAAGACATGATATACGAGAGCAGAGCTTTCAGCGGGTTCTCGGACGGGCTTCGAATATATTAGCCGCGCGCACACACTCAGGCAGTGCATCTGTGACATTCCGGCTCCCTTTTCTTCCAAACGGTATTCGTCCAAGAAGTCATCAGCGAGCGAAGGGATCCGGGTTGTAGCTTTCCTAGCAGGGGGGCAGAGGCGGGTGGGGGGGCGGGCTACAGTAAAATGAAAGAAAATGAGCATTAAAGTGTTTCTTGGCAGCCGCAAAATGAGTGAAAGCAAAGAGGAGAAAGACAGCTGTCCAAAGATAACCAAGTCCGGCCAAAAAAGGCGCGCGCTCCAAATTATATTACCCCCATCGCCGTCTCCCCAGCTCCTTCTGTTCATCCATCACCCTTTTAGACGGGATCGTATATAGTCGACGTATAAGCACTTCATGATGCTTCACGCGCGCAATGAGGTTGTTTACCCCGCGTGCGGGATTTTAATTCATTGGTCATTGTTTTGGCCGTTAATAGAGAGGCGCGCCAAACATTTTTACGAGCGCTAATATCAGAAATTCTTTGGCGGGGCAAATGTTCTGAGGCGTAAAAGCAGCGAGACGTCTATTTCGGTTTATTTGCAAGGTTGTTATGGAGATTGTAACGTTAAAAAAGACAATTTAGCACCGTGGAGAGCGCTCGAAATGAAAACAACGGCGCACTTCATAATTTTTTTGGTGGGCAGCGTGGCTTCCAAGGTTATTGTTAGTGGTTGGGCAAAATGTTCCCGTATTGCTTTTGCAGGCAAATAAAACGTGATAATATGCTTGTTTTCAGACATAGGCTCGGTGCTATTTTTAACAGCACACGTTTTCCAAATTAGACCGCAGAAATATTGGCTGAACAAAAATACTGCCACCTCTGGAATGATTTTTGCCAGGGCAAAACAGTGCTAATAAGTCGGCGTAGCCTCATCGTTGTCGTGCGTCATATGAACGTTTTCCAAAAAACAACAGCCCCAAAAATGTTTTGGTTGTTTATTTTGATTTGCTAGCAAGTTAAAAATGACTCGCACGATTATTAGTGACGTTCAGCAATCGATCGGCTACCGTGTCGAATTCGAGCTCATGTCGGCGTTACGATCCACTCCGATGCTGAACGATGCTACTCCGGTTTCACAAATTCCGCCAGGCTACGTAAGCTTCTCGGCGCAACGGTAAATACCGCGACAAGTGCAATAAAACTCCAACCTGTCCTCGTGCTGAAGTTCCCCCCTGTTTTCCCACTCTACTAGCGAATGTTGATGCCTCAAGGCTAATGCTGTAAATGTAATTTATCTCTCCTCCGACGCTCCTTCTCGGTTTCCCCTCGCCGCTCACTGTCCTCCGTCCCTTCCCTCACCCCCACATTGCTCCCCGAGGCTATCCGTTAGTCCGCCCCCGTGTAATGTCTTACTACCGCCTTCCTGTGCATCTTTTGCTCCGCTGCTATAGCTTCTGGATGAGTGCCTATCGATGCTGTTAGCGCCGTGTTTAGCGAGGCCGCCGTCGCCATTGTCACTGGGTGCCGTGGAGAAAAACAGTAGCGTGTTTTTTTTTTTTTTTTTTTTTTTTTTTTTGCTCTTTCCCCATCTACTCCCTCGGCGCTATTTCTTTTTTGCATATCGCGCTGGTCTGCGTGCGCAGTCACTCGCGCCATACGCGAGTTATGCTAACAATGTGGCAAAGCGTGTCGCCCGTGTACAGAAGACTGGCGGCCAGAGTGGTGCGCATAAACAGACAAGGCAGCGTGACTGCTCGGAGGACACCCGCACCCACATACATGTATGTACATATTATGCTAGCAAGACAAGCGCTTTGATCCCCTCAGACAGCAATGAGATTATAGCCGAGTGCCAAATCGAGGCTGCGCGCCGCGCGTTTGTTTGTTGTCTGTTGCGCGCGCGCGCAAGGGGGCTTGTCGGGAGCTTAGTGCGACTAAAGGGGGCCTCGCGGTTTGACACTCGGGCTTACAAGCTCAAAGCCGGGGCGCCTTCCCGCTTCTCGCGCACGCTTCGCTCGCCTTTCTTGCTTATTCGGTGCTTTTTGATGATTTGTGTGTCCTCCGCTTGGACGAGGCGGCGAAAATCGTGGTGGGGGCGACCGCCACCAAGGCTAAAGGATCCTAAAATGAACCTTTTGCTGACACTGGACCTGAATTTTGCCATGCATTATTTATAAGACTTAATGAAATTAATGTAAAAAATGAGGAATCGAGTAATTGGATCAAAATTTGCATGAGTAAAACAAAAAGAAAAATGTGCTTGTGAGAGTCAGGCATTGCTGTTGTCCACTTCGGGTCTTTGACTTTGAATGTGTGTGGCTTTAAAAGGCGGGGGCCTGACCTGGTGAGTGACATATAGGAAAACAATCATTCACACAGAGGTAGTAATTAGGGCCCGACCGATGTCACTTCTGACATTTAGCAAAATCAAATTCCGATAACCTTCGTTTTGACAACAATAAAAATGTGAAAGAGGCAGAAAATGTGACTTCTTTGCAAGACCATTTTAGTGCTATTTATTTGCAACAGAATCGGACGTTTTGGAGGTTTTTTAAAAAACTGATTTTTATAATTCAACCCATCCCGCAGAACTTAATGATGGATTATGACATCCGCCGTCACTCTGAATATTTTTTTTCCTCATTCCCACCCCCGCCACCCAATTTTGAGGCCCTCCCGCTTTGTTCCTCAAGCCGTTCATGCACGCGTTTGCGCATGTGTGGTCCCATCAAAAGCGCAAACTCCTGCAGACCCTCGGTAATGCATTTTACACCTTTCTGATTAGTCACAGTGTGTGTCTTATAAAAAAAAAAAAAATGCGCGTATGGGCGAGACGGAGACAGAATTGTGAACAAAGGGAGAGGGAGATGAGTGTGTGTGTCGGGGGGGTATTAGATGAAAATGGGGGGAAATGTGTCAAGATCAGATCCTCATTCTGTCATGCAGCAGTCCCACCTGCCCTCCTCTCTTGTCTCTCGCTCGCTCTCTCTCTTTTTCCACCGCGCCGGCATTGTCTCTCGACCCCACTTCCCTGCTGCGCCGCTTCCCCGGCTCGCCGTCCCCCCCACTCCCTCCCTCGTGTCTCTTTGATTTGTTTTCCCTCCAAATCCTCCAGGCAGTTTATTCCCTTCCCTGTCAGCGTTGCGCGTCTGCACGTATGCGAGTCTTTTCTTGAAGCCTCCGTGATGTGCAACAGCTCTTTGAAGGAGCTTTTCCGTCTTTTACACTCGACACCCTTTTTAATTCCACTCGCTCACCTTTTCCAGTTGGCTCGACTGGTCCCAGTCATCTATCAAGTGTCCGGCATGCAACACAACCTTTAAAAGATGTTCCAGATTCATGTAAAGATGGAATCTGAAGAAAAGCGCACACACACATTGAGACGACGTGGGGTGCATTTAATAAGCACAATTAAACAGGGTAAATATTAGCCTGCGGGGGAATTCATAACGATCATTCCAGACGTCCCACGTTGTAAAACGATCCCCTCAGCCGTCTTTTAAAATAGACCTCCAGTGGGAATTTAAAGGATTTTTTTTTTTTTTACACGCGCAGCTGTGGTAGGAGTTGATCAGTTTGCCCGATAACGGCATTAAGCGGTTCAAAAGGAGCGAGCGAGAGAAGCAATGTCCCCCCCGCTTTATTGAGTGCCTTCGCTTTGATGCCGCACATATGGCCAAACGGACAAATGTTTCACAAGACTCGCTGCGACGTGTCGTGTGGGTTTGTTCTTTCGGAGTGTAGCCAGTTACCGACTCCATTGGCGAGCTATGCAGTCGACTTAAAAAGTCTACACACATATTAATCCTCCCCCTAAAAAAAAAAAATCCCACCATTAATCTGGCCTATAACCAATGGAATAAAGTTTTTCAGACAAAGTAGACAGCAGATTGTTGTCACATGGACTAGACAGCCAGCACTTGCCAGAAATTCCTCCAGCTCCTACAATGCTGCATTTGAAGCCTTTTTTGAACAGTTTTCTTCATTTTGGGAGGAGTGTCCAGTTCTTGGGAGGTTCCACTGGGTCGTGAATGCCTTTGGAAATTCTTTCGTACCCTCCTTCTGACTGATACTACCGAGACCCATCTGATTCTATGGAAACCTGTCAGGAAAAGCCTTCTTGAACAGCCAAAGTTAGAGGCAGGTGTGCACACTTTTGCAACTACTTATTCTCTCTTAAAAAAATTTTTTTCAACTTCCCCTCTAGAAAAAGTGAGTTCTGCAGATCAGAGGTAACATTAGTCGTGGGAAAACGTTTTTTTTTTTTTTTTTTTTTTTGGCACTTAAACGCGGCTATGTCGACGTTTTACATCCACCGTATTTACATTCGGCCACATTAAGGATGCCTGGGTGGAATTAGTGGAAGGGATTAATTTGAATCCTTGCGCACCAAGTAGATCGTGGCTCAGGTGCGCGTATGGATTTGTGCTTGGCGGCCAGCTGTGGGTCCTGCATCTCATTACCCTCGCTTCCATCTTCCATATTTCTCCTCTCCCGCTGAGAGCGCCGTGCGCTTGCTTTTACTTCTGTGTTTTATTAGCTGCAGTATGAAAAGCACACACCCCCACCAGCCATGCGCTTCACCTGTGCCCTCGCCCGTGCTCTTGCAAACTCATCAGGCGCCACGTCAAAGTAAGCGACGCTCCTCCCGCCCACCGCTTTCATTTTTCCAAGCAGCCGCCGCCGCCACCGCTCTGACCTCAGCCTCGCGTTCAGGTGGTCGCATCCCCCTCGGCGCGCACAGCTGCGCTCTGTTATCCGGCGCCGGGGTTTCTCACCGACGCATCCCCGTGCCCGCCGTCAAGGTTATTTCCTTGAGGTGGGGGACTTTTTCAGACCCCAAAAGTGAAAGTCTGCTGAATATTCGGTGTTGTTGTTTCGTGTCCGACCGGGCTGATCAGTTACAGTGAAGTCGAAGTCGCAATAAAGCTCATTTTCAAGAAAAACAGAACGGCGAGCCAGACAACGATGCTTCCAGGGAGTCGGGTCGATCTAAAAATACTCAATAAAGAATTTGGCGGGCATGAGAGATGAAAATGAGATATTTGTATAAAATGCTGTAGAACAAATAATCGCTCAAAATTTGCACAGACTGAGAGCTATGTCGTTTTTACGAAAGATTCGTGGCTAAAACGATGCCGAGCGACCCACTTCTGAGTACACGGAGTCCCTCCCTCACTATTTAAGAACTTGAGCGCCTTCATTCGCATCAACAATTACGTGATATACATTTAAGCTACCGAGCCACGCCTTCAACCCAATAATGTATCTTCTCTTCAGCTGGTACGCTAGAGCGCCTTGTTGTTGGCAGTAAGTGCCTCCATGTCATGGAGAGAAAGGCGGAAAGGTGAGAGGAAGAAAAAAAAAATCAAGAAAAAGCCCAGCGTGACACCCAACGGGTGGACATGGGCTTCGCACAGGCGTGGACTCTTTAGAGCGCCTCGTTATCCCAGCAGAAGAAAGATGCCCGCCAAAGCAGATCGTTGTAATTGAAATTTTTGATTGACAGTTGATTTTTTTTTTTTAACCATTCAAATTTGGCAGGTTTGTTTATTTTCACTTTACAGTGATTATAAATAAAATTGGGTCATCCAATTCCACGACACACATGAAACATATTCTCTATCCGCGTTGCTGCTTCGACACATGACGACATGGCTGTCGACCTCCCTTTACGAAAACGAGCCCGTAACCACAAATTCCTTCAGGGGCTTTTTAGAGTGTAAACCGTGGGGTCGTACAAGTGGTGCGCCCAGAGCAAACGTCATCGAAAACACCGGAGTGCTGCTTTATTGCACAGCGTTATATAGTCGCAAAGAGCGAGAGGGGATTATTTTTAACAGAGCCTTGTGTTTGTCCTACCCGGTGACTGGCCAATGTCACGCTGCGTGGACTCGAAATCATTTTCACCCAAATGTAAAGTAACCCACGGGGAGGTGCACTATCATAACTGCAGACATCGAACCCTCACTTGATTACACACACACACACTGTCGTGTGGCAGCGTCAGAGGAGATAAGGCAGCTCGCGTTGGAAGCCGCCCGTACGTTTGGTATCTAGCGGTCGCCGTCACCGATACAACGAGAGGCTCTAAGTGGTTTTAGGAAGGAGATGGGTGCGTGCGGGGTAGGGGGTGCGGAGGTCATGTGCCTGCTGCGCTTGTGCGCGTCTGCTTACTATCTGCCTTGCGCCGCCGCGGTGACATCATGGCGCGCGACGGCCAAACGGCGGAAAGACTGCCTCTTGTCTCTTTTGCTCGCGGAGAGGGCGAGCGATAGGAGTGATGGAGGATCGGCGAAGGGGAAGAGATGGGGGGGTTGTACACGGATACCGTGGGAGGCCCACCATGAGGACATCTGGAATAAATCTATAAGAATCATTTTATCACCCTGGTTTAAAAGCGTTGTGAGCAAACAGGTAACTCTCAAATTGTGTTTAAAACGAGACGTCCTGTTCTCATGAAATTCATGTCCCACGAGTCCTTTTTTGCGTTGAGACAGTTTTCCAGCGTTTCCCTTTTTCCACATTTTACGTTCCAGTCTCATCCCGAAATAGAATGATTTATTTTATTTTTTTTTGCCGAATTTCCTCTCAACGCAACGCCTGAGATTCACCCCGAAGAGTTCCACGTTTGTCTCGTCAGACCACAGAATCGTCTTTCTTGTAGTCTGAGAGTCCTTCGGGTGCCTTTTTGGGAAACTCCAGGCGGGCTGTCATGCGTCGTTCACGAAGGGGGAGTGGCTTCCGTCTGGCCGCTCGACCATACAGACGTGATTGGTGGAGTGATGTCGAGGTGGGCGCACTTCCGGAAGGTTCTCCTCTCTCCAAAGAGGACTGCTGAACCTCTGACGGAATGATTACGGTGTTTAGACAGGCAGCATATAAATACTCACAAATATGGTTTATTTGCAGTTTGAGTTGTTTATATGTGCTAACGTTAATATTTTTAAAAGGGGCATAAATTGCCCAAGGTATTTTTTGGGGCGAGGGATTTTCACAGTCAGGCTTCAAGTTTCTACCATCCAGAGAAATTTAAGAATCATTCCTATACATTCACAGTTGATGGTTTCGTCAACGGAAAGCCAACTAATCATCAGGAGGATTGATCCATCAATCGTGGCGGGAGCGTGTCCAGCTCCCGTCTGGCTAATGAGCGCCGCGGCACAGATGCATGATGGGACACTGACAGTGTGGTCAGCGAGGTTGACCGAAGAATCCGTGGGCCCTCGCCCAGGCGAAACGTGTAATCTGTCTTCATTTAGACGCTCTTCATCGCCGCATTCCATCGCCGCCGCAGCCACGCACGCCCTGGCGCGTGTTCCAAATTGAACACGCAAAAAAAAAAATTGGGAGAAATAAGACGCATGACTTTGCAGCACAGGGCGAGTTGTGGGAGGATTCCGTTAATTGCACGTCTGCGTTTTGAGGCTTTTGTCTTCATACATGCAAATCCGTCTGATTTATATGTTGCGGCGACGCAAAGAAAAGGGGAAACCGTTGAAACGGGGTCCCCTGTAATCATCAAACCGAAGATTTGTTTGCTTCACTTGTTGACGGCGCATGTTTTGGATGCTTGGAGTCAATTAAATGGCCGTAAACAGTCGACGCTGTGACAAATGTCTCTGAGTGAGCAGTTTTATATTTATGTTGCCTTATGTCTTATTTTAAAGAACACATTTTTTTAAGCGCCGTCATGCAAAAGTTATAGCTTGGTTAGGTTTGGGCACGGAAAATATCCCTGACGTTGCACATTTGAATTTTAGTAACAAACAGTGGTCAAGTCCAGTTTGGCCGATCCCCCGCACTCCCCCTTGCAAGAAATTCCCTCGACAATATGGACTCCTCACGTCACCATTAATCACCATCTTCCGTGACCCCGAGAGGTGTTCTTAACCCGAGTGTTTGTGTGCGCAGACAAGAGGCCCTGCTGGCCGCCATCAGCGAGAAGGACGCCAACATCGCCCTGCTGGAACTCTCCTCATCCAAGAAGAAGAAAACCCAGGAAGAGGTGGCGGCCCTGAAAAGGGAAAAAGACGGGCTGGTTCACGAGCTCAAACAGCAGGTGGGATTCCATCGCGGTTTTTAAATTCAGGCGGCGTTCGGAACATACACAAATTAACTCATTCAGTACCAGCTAATTCTAGACCAAGTCTGAAAAGACGTTTAAAAACGTCTTTGGGAGTGAATGAGTTAAGAATGGGGGCTGGGGGGGGGAAATGTCAGGCTTGATAGGAAAAAGGCTCCCCCGCGAGGTGTCAGCGACACGCGCAGCAAAGCAAAGTCGACAAAATGCCCTCCGCGTATCCGCGCGCTTCCGACCGCCGAGGGTAAATTTAGGACCGAGCTACCCCTCCTTGCCCGCGCCGCACTAACAAATCCCGCAACATTTTCAACCCATTTCCCTGTTTTCAACCCATTCCCCTGTTGATTTATCCTCGCGCTTGCACGGATTCCGCCCGTCACTCCGCTGGCGGATGTTGACAAAGTTAAACACACGCTGGCAATCAAACCAGGGTATAAACATGGCTAAATGCCTTTGTGGCTTCCTCGCACACACAAACGCGCAGAATTGGCCTCCTTCCGGGTCTCGAGGCAGCATATAAATACTCACAAATATGGTTTATTTGCAGTTTGAGTTGTTTATATGTGCTAACGTTAATATTTTTAAAAGGGGCATAAATTGCCCAAGGTATTTTTTGGGGCGAGGGATTTTCACAGTCAGGCTTCAAGTTTCTACCATCCAGAGAAATTTAAGAATCATTCCTATACATTCACAGTTGATGGTTTCGTCAACGGAAAGCCAACTAATCATCAGGAGGATTGATCCATCAATCGTGGCGGGAGCGTGTCCAGCTCCCGTCTGGCTAATGAGCGCCGCGGCACAGATGCATGATGGGACACTGACAGTGTGGTCAGCGAGGTTGACCGAAGAATCCGTGGGCCCTCGCCCAGGCGAAACGTGTAATCTGTCTTCATTTAGACGCTCTTCATCGCCGCATTCCATCGCCGCCGCAGCCACGCACGCCCTGGCGCGTGGTCCAAAATGAACACGCAAAAAAAAAAATTGGGAGAAATAAGACGCATGACTTTGCAGCACAGGGCGAGTTGTGGGAGGATTCCGTTAATTGCACGTCTGCGTTTTGAGGCTTTTGTCTTCATACATGCAAATCCGTCTGATTTATATGTTGCGGCGACGCAAAGAAAAGGGGAAACCGTTGAAACGGGGTCCCCTGTAATCATCAAACCGAAGATTTGTTTGCTTCACTTGTTGACGGCGCATGTTTTGGATGCTTGGAGCCAATTAAATGGCCGTAAACAGTCGACGCTGTGACAAATGTCTCTGAGTGAGCAGTTTTATATTTATGTTGCCTTATGTCTTATTTTAAAGAACACATTTTTTTAAGCGCCGTCATGCAAAAGTTATAGCTTGGTTAGGTTTGGGCACGGAAAATATCCCTGACGTTGCACATTTGAATTTTAGTAACAAACAGTGGTCAAGTCCAGTTTGGCCGATCCCCCGCACTCCCCCTTGCAAGAAATTCCCTCGACAATATGGACTCCTCACGTCACCATTAATCACCATCTTCCGTGACCCCGAGAGGTGTTCTTAACCCGAGTGTTTGTGTGCGCAGACAAGAGGCCCTGCTGGCCGCCATCAGCGAGAAGGACGCCAACATCGCCCTGCTGGAACTCTCCTCATCCAAGAAGAAGAAAACCCAGGAAGAGGTGGCGGCCCTGAAAAGGGAAAAAGACGGGCTGGTTCACGAGCTCAAACAGCAGGTGGGATTCCATCGCGGTTTTTAAATTCAGGCGGCGTTCGGAACATACACAAATTAACTCATTCAGTACCAGCTAATTCTAGACCAAGTCTGAAAAGACGTTTAAAAACGTCTTTGGGAGTGAATGAGTTAAGAATGGGGGCTGGGGGGGGGGAAATGTCAGGCTTGATAGGAAAAAGGCTCCCCCGCGAGGTGTCAGCGACACGCGCAGCAAAGCAAAGTCGACAAAATGCCCTCCGCGTATCCGCGCGCTTCCGACCGCCGAGGGTAAATTTAGGACCGAGCTACCCCTCCTTGCCCGCGCCGCACTAACAAATCCCGCAACATTTTCAACCCATTTCCCTGTTGATTTATCCTCGCGCTTGCACGGATTCCGCCCGTCACTCCGCTGGCGGATGTTGACAAAGTTAAACACACGCTGGCAATCAAACCAGGGTATAAACATGGCTAAATGCCTTTGTGGCTTCCTCGCACACACAAACGCGCAGAATTGGCCTCCTTCCGGGTCTCGTGAATTAACCAGCCACACGTAGAACCACGCGCGCGCTTAACCGCAAAAATCCATTTATAATACACGCTCTTCATATGCGGCATTTCGTTTTTCATCTGACATTCTTTCGGCAAGTGTGTGTGCGCACTGAAGGGTGTGAGCATCCACCACCCTCACCCCTCTCTCTGTTCTCCCCCTTCTGGTCCGTCTCGCTGCCTGTCTTTTCCCTCTGTGGTATCATAATTTTCAGTCCCTCAATGATGGATCACAGCTGAGACTTCCTCAGTATTCCCGTCTGTGTACGTTTGTGTGAGCGCCGGTCGGGCCGGCGGCGTATTTTTAGCTCCCACCTATTCCCTCCGTTCCTCCTCCCCTCTCCATGTGTGTGTAACTGTCACACGCGGATGAAGCGCCTGGACAGTTGTAAACCAGGACGAGTGCGTGAAAAAAAAAAAAATAGAGTTCATATTGCATCAAGTAACGATTAGATCGTTTTCCAAAGCAATATGGTGGGCTGAGTCTATTTTCTGGTCTTGTTGCAAGAGATAAAGAATTTAAATCTGTCCAAAGGAAGACATTGCGGTTATCGTAATCAGACTTGGCTGCATTTTATGGCGCACGAAACACATTTGGTTGAGCTTTGCAGATTGCGCATAGACTTCGTCGTCGTTCTGCACCTTTGTGGTCAAAGCCGGGCTCCGATAATGTGACATGATCCCTTCTTTTTGGAACATGGGAAACGTCCAAAAGATGATTTGCTGCCTTTTAAGGTCACTGTAAAAATCATGTGTTTATTTCTCCGTCTCCGGTTGACTCTCTTTGTATCCTTTGTGACCTCTCTTGCTAACCACCGCGGGGGAAAAAAAAAAAAGAGCTGCAATCAATTTTATTATTGTAAGGAGACTTTGCCAATCAAAGTGACGCATTTTCTCATCATGCTAAGCAGAAATGGAGAGTCAACTTTTTTTTTTTTTTTTTGGTCTCCGTTCATTTCATCTAACCATGACTCAGCATCTTGGCACAGCAATAATTGTGTAGATTATCAAGCGCGCGAGGATACAATAATCTCATCTGTGATTCCCCGGAGCCTTATCACCCCCAGTTTCCATAATCATGACTCAGCAATTTTTTTCCTTCCCTCGCTTCATTTGTTTCCCTCCGTTGTCCAGGACGGCGGCGAGTAGCGGGAGAAAAGAAGCAGGAGATTGTAGGAATGAAATCAACGGCGTGATGATTAGATTTGGAATGAGCGGCAGAGCTGAGGTCAGCATCGGCGCTAATTAAAAAGACGTCGGCGAGAAAAGGAAAACCACGGACGGGTGGCAGAGACTTGGAGTGGGCGGCGGAATCATTTCATTGCTTCTTCTCTTGTATTTTGTGGCGTCACATCTATATTAGGTAGATTATATACATTTTTTTTTGTGTGTCCGTGATTGTAGCGTCTGCGGCGCCGCCAATTAAGTGTAGAGGAGACGATATGGAAATGAGAACATGTGTCGGAGCGGACGGAAGCAGGATAAGCGACGGCCAGCGTATTAGTCACAGATGCTCGCTCAAGAGTGAGAAGCCCAAGCCAGCCAAAAAGAGGTCGAAATACGATATCGTGTGTTTAGATGACCGTCGAAAAACATTTAGTTTAAGTCACAAAAATCCCCCTTCTTATTTAAACCCACAGTCGGTTGCCAGGTTCTTCAACTGAAACCGTGAAGCACTCAAGATTGTCGCTATTTTTCTAGTGTTTGTTTTTCAATGGATCGATTCATGTCGATGGTGGCGCGGCGTCGCTTTGGATTTGCAATCAGCACAGTTTTTGAGCAGAGGATAAGATTAGGCGGTGAATCTCCGCCTGTCACGTTGATGATGAGGGAGATGAATGCCAACACATTCGCGATGGGATAAATTTAGGTGTGTTTATGTGTCGCGTCGTTTGTAGGAAGGTGTGGTGTTGGGATCGTCAGTTCACGGAGTGTATGACAACAACAAAATTTTTAAAAATAATAATACTGTTGTTCAACTCGAGCCAAAGCGGCGAGTCAGCATTGCTCACAGCACGTTCCATAGTTTTATTTCTGGGAATAAATTTGTATTTTGCCACCAAAAGGCCTTTTTCCATCTTGTTTTTTTGGTGTTTTATAGTTACAGGTGTCACAAAAACTCGGGCTCCACTATTTTGAGGTGGATGCAGATTTTAGGAAAAATTAAGTGGACGGTTAATTAAAAAAAAAACATGCACAAAATATATTTGATACGATGCAAAAAAAAAATTGGCAAACAGCCATTTGGCTGACGATTTTGACCGATTTTTGAAGGGCCATATCGTCGGCCTTATTTTGTCATCTTTCCTATTCCGCAGACTCGCGACATGTATTTCACGTTGCCTCCCTTCCTCCGTCGCTCCTCCAAGGTCCACCGTAAAGCCAGATTTACAGCCGTAACTTGGGAAGCGGAGCGGCAGAGGCGAGGAGATGGTTTTGGTTGCGGGGGGGTTGAAAAAGGATACGGGGCAGCGGAGGGCCGCTCGGGGAGTGGATGTGTTGAGAGGAACTCAGGAAGGAAGAGCGGAAGTGCAAAAGACAATGTGTGCGCCTATAATGTACATCATATGGTTCTTATGGCTTTAAAAGCTGCGGTATCACTTTAGGAAGGTCGTATTTTTTTTTATTTATGTTTTTCTTTTTTTATGCAGACTCAAAACAGGATGAAGCTGATGGCGGACAACTACGAGGACGAGCACCTGAAGGTGTCGTCCCCCAACGCCGAGCTGCCCAACAACCACAAGCCCTCGCCGGATCAGGTGCGTCATTCGTTGAGCGACGTCGCACCTCACGCCGACTTAGTTCCTGTGCCATACTAACCGCACCGCCGCTGCTCTCTTGGACTCACGCTGCTTCAGGACGATGAGGAGGGCATATGGGCCTAGCGGGTCCTACGCGTCCTCTTCTTTGTCTTTCGCTCACCGTTTTGTACAGAAGGGTGAGCAACCTCGACGCCGGCGTCCGATGCTCATTGTGGCGTTCCTCATCATGTCCGTCGTTGACCTCTCGCCCGCCCCCCTGGCATGCCACTGAATGCTGTTTTTGTGTTGCCCGGCTTTTGTGACGTGCGCTCCATTCGCAGCGCGACTCGGCCATCTCTTTCCTTTTCAGTTCACTTTTGTCATCCGTGTAGTCGTGAATCATCCCGGGCGGGTTCGTTTGTGTTCATCTATCAATCAGTAATTTGATTGCGGCGATAAAATGAAGGAACGGAAGAATAATATTGGTCCCTATCTACGACAGATACAAAATAGCGCTTTTTTTTTTCCAGAACCATAGGAATTTTTTTTATAGTTTTCTATAGTAAATAGACTTTTCCCAAATTTCCGTAAAATAACTAAATAACTCCCTGATTTATTTTTTCTTTTAATATTTTTTTTAAAGGTCATTGCCAATACGCATCAAAATCAGCCCCAGTTGATAATCGGACCATCCCGAATAGGTTTCGCTCAAATCTAACAATTTTTTTCGAGCAACATTGTCACTCCCAACATGAGAACACGACCAGAATCATAATAACCGTGCAGAAAGAAACCAACACCTTCACTTTCATTTCCCTTAAATAGCCTAGCCCTGAAATGCAACTGCGCTGAACCACAGGCTAGCTTGGAGCCAATTAGATGGCCGTTCGGGGAAAGAATTCCATCGAAACAAAGACAATGAAACCTGCGCAGAGTTACATGGAGTTAGCTGCTTAACTACGAATTAGCTCAATGCGGAAAAAGTGTATTTCTGTTTTTTTTATCGGGCTGATGATTTAGTATCGGAGAATCGTTTCATCCCTACTTTCTACCAACTTGGTACACCGTCTACGTGCTCCCATTAATGAATTCGCACCTCAATGCTGAAGGAGGAGAGCAACGCCCCATCTCATCTTTCGGCCGGCGTTGCGTGTAAAGTCGTTGCGCGCACACACGCTCTCTCTACTCGGTGTTGCGAGGCAGGTAATTTGCCACAGCACATTACATCTGAACACTGAGTGCCTGTGTTCACGCCTGTATGCCGGTAGCATATTTGTCGAGGACGTTTTTTATGGCTTTTTGCATTTTTAATGGTCTTTGCTAGCATTTGATGCGTCGCTGACGAAAGACAAGCCTGGAAATGTTTTCACCCCCCCATAATAGTCCACTGTAGGACTTCATTTGTGAAATGCCTTTTTCTGGGGGGGTCAAAACATGTTGGTGTGCTTCATATGTGCGGGTTGAAACAAAAAAAAACAAAACAATTTCAACATGAATAATAAAAAGCAAATAAATAATGTGACCCATGGTCTTGGTATCCAGGCGGTCAATGAGCGGAATGTCTCTCGTTGGAGTTGCTTCACCTTGCGGTCAGGGTGCGGTAGGCCCCCGGCATGGGAGGCTAATAAAAAGCAACGCGCGCCACACACGAACACACATTTCTGACGCTCGCGCGCGGCGCCGTGGAAATATTTCTCCTCGGAGATGCTTTCATGGCGCAGTAATGCGCTCGTTTGATAGCGCGGCGCGCTCGTTAAACTGCCGCTGTTTGTAATAGCGGGGCGGTGTAATACAAGCAAAACACTCGTACTGTATATATATGAGCGATAGCCTTGAATAAAAGCGATACATTTCAACTGCGCCGACGCTAAATGGGCACCTGCGTTCAAACGTTGACCCGATAATGCCCAATTTCCCATTTGTTGTGAATTATTTGATCCGCCGCAGACCTGGAAAGTGTCAACTGTCATTTTTTTTATTTTTATTTTTTTTTTAAATCCCAACAAAGCACAAAGTGTGAGAACAGCTGTTGCGCATAAGCAGGGAGATTCGGTTATAGGCCGAACGTAGAGCGGCGGTCACGCCTGGGTTCTTCGTTCTCGCTCCCTTTGAGGGAAACACGCAGCCTTTATTTCCTAATGGACTTTAATTGGCTGCAGGGGTGCTATTCATAGCCCCCCCCCCCCCCCGCCCCTAATGACTCTGACAATTGTATTTTCTGTCTCTGCATGCTTCATTATGCACCTACCTAAATTGTACATGCGCTTGAAAAGGGGTGAAGGTGGCTTCCAACCCCAAAAAAAAAATTCCGCTTGCGCAGCAGCGCACGTGCGTTCGGCGTCAGCCGCTAAACAAGACGCCGACTCGGAATGGGAAGTGACAGCTACTTTGATTTGCCGTCAGCTTCCATTTGGAGACGGGGGGAATAGTTTTCCCCTTGACAAAAATGCAAACACGGATCCTATTTTATCGTCATTTTATTTGTCATTTATTTTGTTTCCAAGCGTTGTAGCTATCGAATGTTTTTTAAATCAGTTGTCCCAAAATTTATTTTTGGCTTATTTCGCATTCCGCACATAGAACGTGTGACTTTGAGTGTATGGCGCTTTCATAGGCGGACCGGTGAGTGACGTGGGCGTCAGCGAGTGAATACGCCGATTCAGCTGTTGTGAACGGGCTCAACGTTCGTCAGTCTGCATGAAATTTGCTAATTATTTGGTGCTGATCCTGCAGCAACATTAGTCCGTGTGAATGGTTTTTATTCCCCTGAATTTTTTTTTATTTTAATCAAATCGCATCTATTAATGATTTATTTCAGTCTAGTTGTTTTACCCTCCCGAGTCGCCACCACAACTGGGATCTCTAAAACCTTTTATGGGACACAAACGCTCGCTAAAGAATGGGAGTTGTATTCTTGTTTTACTGACTTCACACAACTGTTAAACTGCCTTGTAAACATTTTACGCCAATATGTGGAAACTGGAACCAACACAAAGCAGGCAACAGACGTTTTTTTCGCTCGCTAACCGTTCCGCGCATAAGGGATCCAAATCGCAGCACAGCTGAACAATTTTGAAAAATTATCAAAAAATAATGGTCACATTCTTTTTATTTATTTATTTATTTTTTAATGTCATTAAAAACGACTCTTCTTTCCTCAGATTCTCTCTCCTCTCCTGGATCTGGACCAGAACCGTAGTAAGCTGAAGCTGTACATCAGTCACCTGACCTCCTTGTGTCAGGAGCGAGACCCCGTCATACTGCAAGACTTCGCCCCGCCGCCTGCCTACCACCGCGCCGACTCCGCCGCCACCTGGCACGCGCAACTGCACGGCATGACGCACCAACAGGTGGGCGCTCCAATCAGCCCGCGAAAACTACCCAAGGATGCTTTAACGTCCATTTGCATTCCGTGACACCTGAAAATACTTGTGCGCGTGCCATGAAAGTGCTCGTTTGTCCATTCGTTAGCGACTCCGCGCAAGACAGGTTGATATTTTGAAGTGCCTTATCGCCAGTGATTTCATTCTGGGTGCATCGAAATACACTCAGGCGACGGGTAGTAAAATTCGGGGGAGAGGCAGGGGAGAACGTAAAATAAAAATGACACATATGAAAGCACCTTTTTCAGTCTCAAACCATTTGTTTAGCATCGAGAAGGAAAAACAACAACCAAAAAAATGTCCCACCCGCGTCTCAACTCGAACTCATTTCCACACAATAGCCACAGCCATGCGTCACTCGGCGGCTATTTCTTTCTTTCTTGATTGATTGTTTTTTTTTGGGTTTTTTTTTTTTAGCGACCGCGGCGCCTTTGCAATCACAACAACACATCGCGTCGTCGAGGCGGCTTCCCGCTGGCGTTTGTCGCCGTTGCCCGCGGTTATCGCGAGGCAGCGTGCGCGCATGCATCCCAAAGAAAATGCCGTCCAAAACTGGGAGCTCTATCTCTGCCAATAATAATAATAATAATAATAAGCGTCACGGCTGAACGACGTCACTAATGAGCACAGCGGAGACTCCGACCTGCGCCCCTGGCCGAAGCCAAAGCGCGCGGGTCGCCTCACTGCCCGTGTTTTGTTGTCGCTGGAAAAAAAAAAAATTAATGAACTGTTTTATTGTCCTTTATGAATCCCGAGTGCGTTGTCGTCGAATTTTGTCTGTCCCAAAAGAAGGAGAAGAGAAATTATTTGGAATCGTGGTAATGAAACAAAATAGCAGACAATTGCAGTGTGCGCATGTCATTGTCCAAAAGCAACAAGAGCTTCTTTTATATACATGCTTGCTAGCTTATATGTCAAAGGACAGACAAAAAAAGAAAGATGTCAAATATAACAAACCAAAATAAAGCACCACAATTCTGCTTGTCGAGGTATTAATTTAACAACATGTTTATTATCCCGGTGGTGGGAAAATCACACTTTGCACCGTCTCGGAGCGACGCCATGTTTGTTTTTTTTAGCGGCCCGCCAAGCCCCCCCCCCGTCCCCCTCCCCAGACTGGCAGACGTCAGCGTGAGATGAGCGATACAAAAACAGGACAGGGCGGCGGCGGAACCTTTTCCAACATGGCTGCTGATAATGCAGGATGGAACATTTGGCAGTCTCCCTCCGACACGACGACGGCGGCGGCAAAACGCCCAACGTGTTCTTTTTTTGTTTTGTTTTGTTTACATCTCCCTTGAATTATTCATTGGAATATTACCGTATTTGCCTAATCTCATTTCCGACTCACTTGAGCCTCCTTTCCAAGGAGATATGATATTAAACAGCAATTATCACATTAAGTTGAATCACCCTCCGCACATAAACAAACAGTTGTGTTTGTCTTCAGCTTTTATGGCTGGAAGAAGCACAGTTGCAACTCCGCCCCCCAACCCCACGAGGTACTTTTTTTCACCACTTGTGGGCTCCGCGGAGGCAGCCGCATCGCTTGGGCATCACGGTTTTGGAATTTAGTGTCAGTTCTTCCTGGCCGAAATGGTCAGCTGGCGAGCATCTCTTAAGTTGAATGCAAACCAACAACTGCGGTTTTCTGACAGCTGTTAGTGGGCCCCATCTGGCTCGAAAATCGAAATGGTGCTATTGTATTTTTGGATATTACTTGGTTTGCAGCGCTGCGATGGAATTTGAGATCAGAGATCGTATGTGAAAGTTCAATGTCAATAAATATTTTAAGAGTAAATGCTAATTTATAATCATTAAATGTACCGTGCGAAACATTCACTCAATTAAATACAATTTTTTTAGAGATGGGCAAGTATCGATGCCCGGGTATCGGTGCCCTTACCAGACTTATTTTAAGGTAACGATACTCGTGGAGGCTGCCGATATTTAAGACGGACAAAATCTGACATGCGATAGTTCGACACATCGGCGTATCATCGTCTTCGGAAAGACAGGCCTCTGTTCTTTGTCGGTGTGGGAATTGAAAGTTCGGTATCGGCCCTCAGTATCGGCGAATACTACCGAGTCAATATTTGACTTTTTAAATTCAGTACGGTTCTTTGTTTTTTTTTTCTTTTTTTTTTTATAGACAATTAACAATACAGTTCAGTTGTATTTCACTTTTAAGCCATTACAATACGGGTACGGAGTAAAATCGGCCTTGATGACGTACGGTTCATGTTCTTATATCATCAGCAATACGTTTGTGTTCCACCCTGCAGACGTTCAAGGTACACACACACGCACACGCATTTCTCGCTTCGTTCCTACTCTGATAACTGGCGTGTTGGTGCGCATACATTCAGATATATATATATATATATAATGGCACTTTAATGGCTGTAGTAAAAAAAAAAATCATCCTCTCCAACGTAACACACTCTCGCACACATATCTTGGCTCTTTATCGGCGCTTTTCATCCCCGCTCGCTTGCCGCGGTATCTCGAAGAGACGGTCACCTTCATCATCATAAGGAGACAAAGAAGAAACTCGAAGGGTGCGAACGTGGTTGATTTCCTTTTGTGCTTTCTCAAGGGGCATCGTGGGGTGCGTCCTCGCCATTTCTAAACGTCGTGTCTCGAGCGTCGGCCGGGTCAAGGTTGCGAGAGGCAGAAGACGATAGGCAGCAGGCTTCGGTCTTTATCTGCGCCCGATCTAATCTTTACGGCCGTGTTTTTTCTGCGGGATTGCCGCCGAAGCCGTTGAGCGCTTTAAAAATTGGGAAATGTTTTGTTAGTTTCCTGATGCAACACCGTAAGACATGACCGCGCAGATTGGACATGACCTTTTTAGATCTATTTAGGTCAAGTGACACATACGCAGGTGTCTGTATAATTTTTTTTTTTTTTTTTATATGACTTAAAAGAAAAATTGAGATGCACTACAGATGAATTCATTACTTGTCTTTCTTAAAAAAAAAATACACGGAAACAGAACCTTTGAAAATTTATTGTATATTAAATTGCAATATTGAGAGGAACATCAAATCATTAAAAAATAATTAACCCCTGTTAGAGTCATTTTTGTCATTCGGGTTTCACCCTCCCCCCCCTCAAAAATAAGTTTTTTAAAAGTTTTAAGGGGAGACTGGAACAGATTAACGGCACTTCCATTCATTTCAGTGGGGAAGGATGATTTGGGTGTTCCTAGTTACACGCAAGGTCACAGAACAGATTAAACTCAAGTCGCCTCTGTATTAAGAACAAACAACAATACCAAAAAAAGCGTGATATATGGATGGCGAATACTTTTCGTGTGATTTTCATGACTCATTAACATCGTCATTACCACCAGATGTTCTACACATGAGTATTAATGTGCCGTTGCGATCGCCGGCTAATAGATGAGAGCGCTGAAAGCAGTTGAGATTTAACCTTTGAAATGTTTGGTAATGTTTGAGCTCAGCTTGCACACACACACGCACACACACACACACACACACACACACACACACACACACAGTGGCTAATGTTAGCTTGTGTTACACAGGCTCCTTGAGCAGCGCTTGTATTGATACAGATGTATTGGTCGTTAAGGCAGTCAGGTTAGACGCAGCGGGCCAAGTCGCAGCCAAAGCAAACAGCAGCGGCACTTTCTCACAGAAATGTTCCGCTCGCCACGGGACAGGCGGAATCGCACGGTCGGGCGGAGGGGGGCGGACATAGTCTGATATGTACCATTGTGTGAGTGGAGTGTGTGTTAAACATGATCACGTAGTTTCTGTGAGAAAAGATGAACACGGTCCGATCGGATTAACCCTTTGAGGGACAGCGGTTACTACAGTGGGCAGCTTATCACGTTATCAGGGTGCATGAAAGGGTTCTTATTATTTTACTCCATATGATATGTTCCAGTATTTTTTATTCATTTTTGTTGTTGTTGTTGCTCGGCAGTTGGAGGCGGAGTTGGCACTGTGCGAGCGGGAGGGGGCAGAGCTGCAGGAGTACGCCAACCAGGTGCTGCAGCAGATCGCCGACCGCTGCCCCGACATTTTGGAGCAGGTCGTCAACGCCCTGGAGGACAGCAGCTGACGCGTTTCCATCATCGCTGTCACCAAAATGACTTCTGTCCACAGGTTGCTTTTTTTTTTTTTTTTTTTTCACCCCCCCCTCCCCTTCACCTGTGTAGGACTGAGTGACACAAGCGCACACTGTTCTTCGAGTCCGCCATTTTGCTGCTAACTTGTTTTTGTCGTCGTCTTCTATGGTTTCTGTCAGCCTTCCGTTGTGCCAGGAACACTCGCAATAATCCCTTTACTATCAACTGTGTGGAGGATAACACGAGGAGGAATCTTTTTTTTTCTGCTTTTCTTTCTGGGCGGGGATGGAGAGAATATAAATATTTTGCTTTTGCTAATATATATATATAAATACGTATAAATGTAAAACACTAATGTTATAATTCCAGTTATATGCTTGGTTGTCACCAGCGGGGGAAACGTTACAGGTTTGAATTGTTTACCATAATAGACTTCCCGGCAACTGCGGGTGGGCAAAAGAATTGAAATGGAATAAAATGCGAATCTATCTTTTCTCGACTGTGAAAGAGCATTTTCTAACGCACCTCATCATGTTTTGGGAGAGCCGCCGTCAAGACATATGTCCCCCCAAACGGAGCTTCCAACATTCCCGCTACGCCGTTATCGGCTCCCCTCGCGAACGTCGCCTTATCTTGACCCCGCGGCCGCTTTATTTTCCTCCCCCCTCCCGCTGCAATGACATGATTCCAGGGCTCGCTCTCGTTCCCTATCTAGCCTTTGCGACGGCCTCTTCCTGTTGCACTTAACATTCTTTCCACCTTAGGATGTATAAAAGCCACATTTACCTGTCCTTCACATAGCATTCTGCTTTCCCCATCTACTGTCGTAAAAAAAAAAAAAAAAAAAAAGAAGACAGCGGATGGAAGAAGCGGCCATGAACTCTAAAACAACCCGACTTATATTCTGACTTTTACTCCATTCTGACCCCTGCTTGGTATTTATTTAATCACTTGAGCTCCATATTGAAGTGCAGGCCCATACAGAGGTGCATTCAGGGGGGGGGGACATCCAGCGCGGCCAACGAGGCGTTCCAAAGTAAACCGCTAGTGGATCTGCACTAAATCACACACATTAATGAGTCTTATCACGGTAAATAAATACGCCGTACAAATATTTAGCCTCACATGCATGCAAATGACGATAAATGCGCCCGTGTTTTATGATCGGGGATTAATTCGGGAGCGGGCGGACAAGCGGGCCGCGTTTTGATCCAACCCGACCCAAGACGAGATCGGTATCAAAAACCGAGCGCCTTAAACACCCGCGTAAGCTGTCGGTGATATCGGTGATCCCCCCCGCCCGCCCCTGGGGAGAAAAAAAACAACGACGTCCTTGAGACAATGTATCTGTGGGAGCATTTCGAAGAAGCCTATTTATAATAAAAGAGGGAAGAAGGTTGACAAAATGTGAGAAGGACATCGGGGAGCGCAAATCCAAACAATGTGGAGAGGAGCCGAGCTGCTAAAATAAGCTGTGAGCCGCCGACACTCCAAACGTCCCGAAGACTCTTCACCTTCTAACTGAAGATGAGGCTCCGAGCGGCGACCTTGGTTGGAATAGCAATCCTTTGGTATGTCAGGGTTGCTGTGCGGTCCCAGACTCAAGAATTCACCTCCCGTCATCATGAGCTGGGAACCCGGGCTCTCTAAATGAAGGCTTGTTTTCACCTGAATGTGTTTTTTAAGCTTGCGACCATCAATAAATTTTTTTTTAAAAAAGCTGTTCAGCCTGATGTTTTATTTTTGTGCAATGCCTGTATGAATATCTGGACATGTCTGAATAACTGCAGTATGTTTTCTCATCAGCAATAATCTTTTTTTTTTTATTTATTTAAAGTTTGTAAAATAGAGATGTCCCGCTCATGTCAAGATGGGCTGAGCTGTGCCAGACTCAAGGTTGAATACATTTCACATGGTCAAAATGGGAATTCTGCTCCCCAATGGAGGCGTGGGTTCAAATCCCCCTCCTGACATCAATTCAGCAGCTGTCATCCCAGCAAAATGTCCAGAAACGACTTCTTTCAAAGTCCACTTATCCATCTGTACTCTTCTGACACAAACTGGTGCGCTCTTCTGTTTGCCACGTTTCATTGCACAATTGTAACTTAATCTAATTTGATGTTTTCATTGCCTTCATTTACTCGTGTTCGCATGGCCGAGCGGTCTAAGGCCCAAGGTTCAGCACCTTTTTCACTGAGAAGCTGCCATGTTCAAAATTGCAAACGTGAAAATGAATTTGACTATTGATAAATTACTGTATTCTTTTGACACAAAATGGCTCCTTTGCTCACTCTTATTGTCGACACAAAATGGCTGGTTTAGATTCAAATATAGTGGAGATTCAAATCCCAATCCTGACAACCTTCTCATTCTAAACAACGCGAATGAAATCTGGTGATGTGTTTTGACACAAAATGGCTGGTACACAAACCTTTTATCATTATTGGTTGGACCTGATTTCGCTACCTAAAGGCAAAAGTTTTGGAGAATTTGCAATGTAAGCTTGCTATCTTTATGTCAGGATGGCCGAGCGGTCTAAGGTGCCAGACTCAAGGTTCAGAACCTTTCACTCTCTGAAAGTGGGGAATTCTGGTCTCCAAATGGAGGCGTGGGTTCAAATCCCACTCCTGACAAGTTTTTTTTCAATATATTTGAAATAAAATGGCTTGTGTCCTCACTTTTATTATTATTATTGTACAAAAACATTGCTGGAACTAACATTTTTTAATTATAGTAATGTTTAGACAAAATGTCTGGCATAGATCAGGATGTACTGTTCAGCACATCTGTTTATCATCCATGAACAATGGAAAAAATGAAAATAGATAAGAGGTGGCTTTAATTTTCTTGGATACATGTTCGTGTCAGGATGGCCGAGCGGTCTAAGGCGCCAGATTCAAGGTTAAGTACCTTACAAACAGTCAAAGTGGGAATTCTGGTCTCCAAATGGAGGCGTGGGTTCAAATCCCACTCCTGACATCGTTTTGCAATGTATAGTATTTGAAATAAAATGGCTTGCTCGCGAACTTTTATTGTTATTTGTGGACACAAAATGGCCGGCACAGTAACGTCTTCTTAATTACAGAATTTATTGGATGCATTTATATTTATTTGTAAAAATTGGTTGTTTGTCACGTTTCTTTCACCATCTATGAGATAGATGCAAAATCTCATGTCAGGATGGCCGAGCGGTCTAAGGCGCCAGACTCAAGGTACAAAACCTTCCACGCGGTTTCGCAGGGACTTCTGGTCTCCGACTGGAGGCGTGGGTTCAAATCCCACTCCTGACACTTATTTTTTTTTCCACCCCTCTACCGAATATGGTCCACTTTGATGGACACACCTTCCTGACTTAGAAACACCCACTCCCTCCTCTTCCTCCTCATTTTGACACACAGCACGCAGGAGCAGATTCGGCAGTCGGAACCACAACTTTTTTTGGGTCACGGCAAAAAGTAAACCAAAAAAAAAACTATCAAGCTTGGTCGATTACAACTTCATGCTTTTCTTCCTATTCTAGTTCTTTTTTTTTTTTTTGCAAGAGGACTTTTTTTTTTTTTTTTTTTTACTGAGTTTATTTTATTCCTGACACCTGTTGATCGGAGCGCAGCAGTTCGGGTTCGTATTAATCTTGACGTTGGACTTCTAAGGACTTCCCGAACCCTCCCTCAGCGGAGACTCGTTCTGATCACTTCTGCTGGTCATAATTGGACTGTTGTGCACGGGAAAAAAAAAGAGGACTTTAAGGCGATACCTGTCAAAATAGAGGCACGGCAATACGTGGGTTTCTGCCTCGCAGTTTCAACACTTTTTTTTTTTTTTGCACCTTTCACAAACTTCTTGGAGGTCACCAAAAGGATTCGGGCACACAAGGTAAATTTTTTTTAAGCATTATTATTGTTATTTATGAAATGTATGTGTCGTTTTATCTATTTATTTATGTATTTATTTCAGGTGAGTGATTAGTTGCTTATATTACATTTTTTATAACCATGTTAAGTTGCCGTGTAAAGTCCCCACCTCGCAAAGTTTAGTCTATATGTGGAGAAAAGTGCCTATATGTCAACTGTGTGACAGTGGTGAAATGCAATGTGTGTGCTTTTGGCCTCAATGAAGGCTGCCCTCTCACTATGCGGTGCAGCCTGCCTTCTATTTTGGGTGAAAATGATGCACAAATGTTTCTCTCAGCGTGGAAGATATGATGTTTTTTTTTTATGGAACTATGCAACTATTTCTTTTCATAGACGTGGTATGTAAACTTGTGAAAGTATTTAGACACCCGCTTGTATTTTATGATCCCCTTGGCCCCCCCTTTACACTTATTCCCACACAAAAACAAAAAAAAAAGTTCTCATGTAACTTTTAAAAAGTAATTTCAATCATTTCAATTGTCCTTCCTGCATCTGTGTTGGCTCACCACACTTCAGCCAGATTCTAAAGTGATGCTTAAGAGACATTGTTGGGATCTGAGCGTATGGCATTTCTATGCCTTTGTGTGTGCGGATCCCCAATGGGAGCCCGAATAACTAACGCACACACACGCACACGTATAGAAAGTGCATGTGAACGCCGTGGCCTCGCCACTTGAAGAGTTTCTTTGAATGATGATCCCTGATTGGTTGATGTGCATCCTGGGAATACTTCTCCATTTGGGAATGAGCTTGACCCCTCTGTGTGTGTCAGCGTGAGGTAAGACAGGTCCCCGTGAGCCTTTGGGAACTAATCACTCAAGGATGCTAACACGCTTTAACTGCGAATAGTCCAATTTCTTTGAGAAATGAGGAGCTTCGGTGATGTCATCACGCAGGCTGCCGGGGTTGGGCCTGGCATATTTTGGCTTCATTCCTGACCATGTGTGCGTGTGTGTGGTACATGTGTGTGGATTTTACATGAGCGGGACTATGCACATAATTGTAGACATTGTCTATATAAAAAGCGCTGGCTGGCTGGCGGCGGCAGGCCTGCGTTTTGTCACCGCCGCTGCATAACCAATTTAACCTCCTCCGACCTTTAAAGTTGCGTTTTAATTCAAGTGGGGCAAGCATTTCAGCATTTTTTTTTTGGGGGGGGGGTGTAGAAATGTAATGAAAAGGCATTTGTGTGTGTTTATGTGCGGCGTTGCCATGCAGAGTAATACTAGTCATACATAAAACAACAGGTCACTTTCATTCGGTACACAATCGATATACAATACAAGTACACAACCCCCCCCTACCCCAACCCCCCCCCCAAAAAAAAACGTAATAAAGCTCAGTTTTTACTGAACCTTTAACGTTTAAATTCAATACTGAAGTGGGCAACGTGGATTTGAGTGCAAGTCAGATGAGAAGAAATAGTGACGTCTACTGGTGACTTCTTGTCACTACACCACCTCGAAACACAAAAGCACCCAAAAAATGGTCCAAGTAGTCATTTAGAAATATATTTACGACACTCAGTTTTAGTTTGGCAGCTTGTGCCATGAAGTGAATGAGAGTAAACACAATAAAAATGTCTTGAGTGAAGCGTACGATGTATTTTTAGTTTTGCAAATAGGCTGCTGGATTGCAGTTTCTTCTTCCCACCCCCCTCACAAAAAAACTTTGCAGTTTGTTGCAGTAAAATAGTTCGCAAACAGATGGCGCTGCCTCACTGACACTTTTCTCGTCCAGTAATGGACATGCAGAGCGTAAGGGGGTGGGGGCAAAGGGTGAGCGTGACATGAGCGCAAGTGAGTGACCTATCTGCAGGAAGTAATCCATTCACCTGCATTACTTGGGGAGGAAATATATTGACAACTGCGGGGAAAAATAAGAGCCCCAAAACATCTTTTTTGGTTGTTTGTTATTTGACCTTTTTATTTTTCCATTTTCTGCTTGAAATGGCAATACAATGGTGCCTTGACTTACTCTGTTCCGTGACCACCCTTGCAACCCAGAAATTCGGTTTCCCCATTGAGATAAATGTAAATGCTATTAATCCGTTTCCGTGTAACCGTCAGAAAAAAAAAATTGCACTGTACAGTACCGTGCGTTATAAAAACATACAGCGATGACATAAATAGAAGGTAAAGAACTGAACTGATTGTGCTTTGTGATTTCATGCCTCCATTCAATGGGCGTTGTATGTCTGCTGTGCACGCTTTGGGCACCGGGGGGCAGTATAAATTTCACAGGAATACAACACATTCATTTGATGAACGCAGAAGAAGACTACTGTATCTATCACAAGCAAGTCATGAGGCAGTTTTTGCAGAGGATAAAGAATATATGCCTGTGCATATTGTGTTGTTCAAGGTTCATAGCTCGTGTGATATCAATGCGAGTTTGCTAGCGTGTGTCCGCTATTCCCTCTTATGTGTCAGCATGACACTCTGCCACTTTCCTGAGACAAATTTAGGGTTAATACACAACCAAAAATGCGACTTTGACGCCAATAGGCGACCTGGTCTCCTTATTTTTTTCCCTGAGACAAATTTAGGGTTAATACACAACCAAAAATGTGACTTTGACGCCAAATGGCGACCTGGTCTCCTTATTTTTTTTCCCCCCCGAGCTATATATTGAAAAGGCAGTGACCTTTTCAAGCAAAATTGAAAACATATGCTTCAATTTTAACTCCGGACAAGCATGACTCAACAGAAATCTGCTCCGTTCTGTCAACACACACAACACAAGCCCGCTTCCCCCGCCTCCTCCATCTTTACCCACCCTTCCGTGGGCGCCGTGCCCAGAGAGAGGCAAGCCTAAGCTGGCTGCCTCGGCCCCAGCAGCAGTGAGCAACCAGGAGAGAAAGAAAGGGGGGGGGGGGGGGGGGGGGGGGTTGAGATGGTTAAAAACAGGAGAGGGAACGAGGAGATAAGTGCGTGGATGAAAGCCGAGAGGATGAAGAGATAAGAGGATGCGCGCAATACGTGCAACGGAGGAAGAGGGGAGGGTGAAAGAGTCGGGGTGGGGGGTGTGGGGGGGAAGTTTGGGGTGGGGGGTGGGGAGTGGTGGTGGACACGGGAGAGGCAAGACAAAAGGAGATTAGAAAAATAGATAGATCAATAGATGGAGTGATAGAGCCAACAAAGACCAAAGATACAAAGGAGAAAGAGAGAGAGAAAGAAAAAGAGCTGGGCAGACCGCCAACTCTAGTCAGAGAGAGGGAGAGAGAGAGGTCAGAGCAACGGGACACATCTCTGGAGTGTGTGTGTGTGTGTGTGTGTGTGTGTGTGTGTGTGTGTGTGTGTGTGTGTGTGTGTGTGTGTGTGTGTGTGTTCGTGTGATGAAGGGAGGATGAGAGAAGAATGCAGAGGAGGAGAAGCAGCAGAGCGCAGAGAGAGGACGACTCCGTGGAAGAGAGTCAAAAGCCTGAGAAGCGCGACCTTGGGAAATGTAGACGCCACCCTGACATGGGTTAGACTGCCGTTAGGCGTACCTAATAAAGTGGCCGGCTTCTATTGAAGGTTGGACCACCTCCGTTCCAAAAAAAAAAAAAAATTGTCACCTCGCTCATGCTAAACGTGATACGAGCCGTGACACGGTGTCAGAAAATGACGATCATCCATCACTCTTGTTTACTGTACGCGCACCATACTTCAAATAAATGGCGCAGAACAATAACCGTCATTTTTTTTTTTTTTTTTTGTGCCCGAATCACTGACTCTGCATGTTAGCACTCCATTAAATGACCATCATCACCATCATCATAATGGAATATAATCAGCGACTTGCACCCGCCACTGAGCCGGAGGAGTAATATCATCTATTTTATTTTTTTTTCATAAACCACCATACGATCATTGGACACTTCATTAGGTACACCACCATGCTGTACTAATCAAAATCTGACCTGATAAATGTAATCACGTTCATCTTTTTTTTTTTTTTAAATGGATACAAAAGGCGTATTTCTCACAACTATTGTTCACGAATCAAAATCCGTCTTTGTGAGCATCTCTCCTTTGCCGAGGAATTCCATACAACTCACGGGGGTGACTTGGGCCGCCCACAATAAAAGCCCACTCTAAAATATTTCGTTTTACCATAACAGGTAGGTGAGAGAAGCATTCAATAGCTGGCGAAGCCACCTTTTTCCTCACGTAAGTGTGACATATTTATTGCCCAGGTTTGCCTTAGGCTGCCCGCGATAAAAGGCCTCTATAAAATGTGCCGTTTTACTGTATTGGGGATCAGGAATCCAATTAGTGTCAGGTATGGCCATCACTTGCCTCGCATGGTGCAAACAACTTTGTTTCACACGAGTGCCTTGGGCTTCCCACAATAAAAGGCCGCTCTAAAATGTAGGGGGGAAACTTGGGGACTCCTCAGGGCTCCTACGTCAGTCATGCAATTTTTTGCAGGAAGAAGAGCTGGCGGAGCGCCGTTTCCATTCAGCATGAGAAAAAAAAACCAATTTGTATCTGAGTGATGAAAATTTTTTGGGGTGTCGCCGTATAGACAGCCGCAGCATCCTTAAAATGTGGAAAAAAATATCTTTCGAAAATCAGCGCGGTATTCACACTAGTGAGTAACTGCGTTTTCTTGAGCTCCTTTCTGACACTTTGTGTTTGTCTTTGTGTGTGTTTGTGTGTTGATGTGTCGTTGCCATCGCTCAGCCTCGTGTGTGTGTGTGTGTGTGTGTGTGTGTGTGTGTGTGTGTGTGTGTGTGTGTGCGTGTGTGTGTGTGTGTGTGTGTGTGTGTGTTCGCCACTAGCCCCACCAGCGAAATGCAGCCAGCATGACGGAGAATGACAGGTTGATTTATGGCGAGGCTATAAGTAGAATGACTACGAAGGAGGGATAGAACGGAATTTGGGCATTGATTGGACGATTTGAGCAGATTCCCGAGTAAAAACCGACATTGACTCCATGAAACGTCTTAGAATTGATTATCCTGCTCAGTTATTG